GTAGTTGTAGAAGTAGTAGTAACAGTAGTAGTAGTAGTAGTTGTAAAAGGAGCAGTAACAGTCATAGTCGTAGTTGAAGAAGTCGTAGTGTGTATGTGTGCGGGGGGGGAATAATTTTGAAATAATTTGAATAGTGTATATTTTGGGATTGTGCAGTTTTTAAATATTTTTTCAGAAGATTTGAAACACCCTCGACACTCAAAGTGATGATGTCACACATTCTAGCCCTGAAGAGTCTGTCCCATAGACACCCATTATAAAAAGGGCCCATAAATGTACCATAACTTATACTGTGATAAGTCAAAAACTGTAAAAGATATAAAAAATCTGAATATAAGTTTAATAGCTGAATGTCTTGTGACCATTTTAAAGTTGGAATGAAGTCTGTAGCTGAAAGTATGTGGAAAGAGTAGCATGTTGCACATGGTGTAGGTAAAAGAGGATTTTAAGGTTCCTCTCTTCGAGTTACATGTTAAAAAAAGAATAAAAAAAGCTGAATATTTAAAAAAGTAAACAAAGTTTGAAAATATGCTGAAGTTATTCGACGGCAAAAAATGGGGTGAAATAAGAAAAAGAAGAAGGCAAGGCAAGGCAAGTGTATTTATATAGCACCTTTCAACACGGGGTAATTCAAAGTGCTTTACAAAAATAAAAGACATTAAGAAAATGGCATTTAAGAACAGTCATTAAAAAGCAAAGATAATAAAAGAAACATTAAAAGAAAAAATACATGAATAAAGGTTTACAGTGCAGTTTAAGATGTGAATAGCTCAATTAAAAGCAGCGACAAAAAGAAAAGTCTTCAGCCTGGATTTAAAAGTAGTCAGAGTTTCATCGGACCTGCAGGTTTCTGGGAGTTTGTTCAAGATATTTGGAGCATAATAACTGAACGCTGCTTTACCATGTTTAGTTCTGACTCTGGGGACAGAAAGCTGACCAGTCCCTGAAGACCTGAGAGATCTGGATGGTTCATAATTTAGCAGGAGGTCAGAAATGTATTTTGGGCCTAAACCATTCAGTGCTTTATAAACCAGCAGCAGTATTTTGAAATCTATTCTTTGACACACAGGAAGACTTCCTGTAAAGATTTCAGAACTGGAGTGATGTGATCCACTTTCTTAGTGTTAGTGAGGACTCGAGCAGCAGCATTCTGAATCAGCAGCAGCTTTCTAATAGATTTTTTAGTGAGACCTGTGAAGACACCATTGCAGTAGTCGAGTCTACTGAAGATAAAAGCATGGACAAGTTTTTCCAAATCCTGCTGTGACATTAGTCTTTTAATCCTAGATATATTCTTTAGGTGATAGTAGGCTGATTTAGTAACTGTTTTAATGTGACTGTTGAAACTCAGGTCAGAGTCCATGACTACACCTAGATTTCTGGCTTTATCTGTTGTTTTGAACATTGCAGGCTGAAGCTCAGCGCTAACTTTTAAACGTTCTGCCTTGGCTCCAAAGACCATTACCTCAGTTTTATCTGTATTTAATTAGTTCTGACACATCCAGTCATTGATTTGTTCAATGCACTTAGTCAGTGTCTGAATTCTGAGCATAGTCTCCTGGTGAAATGGTTATGTAAATCTGGGTGTCATCTGCAAAGCTATGGTAACTTATTTTGTTGTTTTTCATGCATGTAGATGTTAAAGAGAAGAGGCCCCAAGATGGAGCCTTGAGGTACCCCACATGTCATATTTGTCAACTCAGATGTTTATTTACCTATAGAAACAAAGTTGTTTCTGTCCATTAACCCTCCTATTGTCTTCGTTCCCCCCCCCCCCCCCTTACTTTGGTGTTCGCGGTCAAATTTGACCAGTCCTGTTTTAACTGCTATTACATTAACACAAAAACCATTAATCATCACCACATTTCATTTAACACCCTTTCAAACTGTAAATATTGTATCAGACTACTGGTATACATTAAAAACTGCAGTAAATATACCAATAATAGACACTGAACATGTATTGCGTGTGCCAGGTGTGATCCATGTGGGGGGATGGGCACATATGAGCGGGAAATGTGTCAAATTGTTCTGTATGTGTGTGTTTGTGAGTGCCAGGTGTGATTCACATGGGGTTATTGGGCACATAAGGGGGGGGGGGCACATCTAGAGTATGTGTGTGTGTGTGTGGGTGGGTGTTTGTGTGTGTGTTTTATCTGATCCGAATGGTTACTAATTCCTTTTCTTTATGGCGGTCATTTTTGACCGGGAACACCATGGGTGTTACAAAGTTGACTAAATCATCCAAAATTCAATGAAAGTGGTGGTCAGCTATTTTTTATATTCAAATGTCTTCTGTGAAGGATATCATAAAGCCTTAATGCAATCGAATGTAAAACAAAAAAGTTATGATTGATGAAAGTAGTAAATCGGTCAGATTTGACCCGAAGACAACAGGAGGGTTAAGTAGGATTCAAACCAATTAAGAACTGTTGCCGAAAGTCCCACCCAGTTTTCCAGTCGGTCTAGTAATATGCTGTGGTCAACAGTGTCAAACGCAGCACTGAGACCTAATAATACTAACACTGAAGTTCTGCCACTGTCTGTGTTTAAGTGGATGTCATTAAAGACCTTTACAAGAGCAGTCTCAGTGCTGTGGTTTGGACGAAAGCCTGACTGGAACACATCGAAGCAGTTATTTAAATTCAAGAAATTACTCAACTGTTGAAAAACAACTTTTTCAATGATTTTACCTAGAAATGGCAGGTTTGATATGGGCCTGTAATTGTTCATTACTGAAGCATCTAGAAGAAGTTGAAGACGTTGCACAGCATTCACACTAATTACTATTAATATTATTTTTTACTTGTAATTTCTGATGCATTCAAATGTTATGTGCATATCTATATATATAGACATATAATTAGTGGAAAGAAGAAACAGATCTTCATATATAAAATAAGTCCAACCTTGAAAACATGAAATAGTCATACATTTAAAAAAAATATATATATACTAAAGAGACTAAAGTCAATTTCTTCATATAATGATCTTCGCTTTGCATATGCTGTTTAATACGTTTTCTTTCGAGACTTTTAAATATTAAGCAGTCTCGATTGTTAAAGTCATAGGATAACACACATTATATGTTCTACTTGCATATTTATGCTCCGAGATTTTGTCTTTCAGTCGGCTGTTTGTGCAGCCCATAAAAACCCCATGGTACAAGATAACTGTACACAACAAATGTAGAGTTACTGCTTTAAAGTCACTGATGTTTGTTTCTTTTTAATTCATGTTTGCTTCTGTCTTGTTCGCAGGCCATCAGCTCTTTGAATAAGTATCCATTGCCGATTCAAAACGCCAAAGAGGCTAAAATCCTGCAGAGCTTCCGAGACGGCATCTGTAAAATACTGGATTACAAACTGCAGCGATACCTCAGAGAGAACGGTGAGAAACAGAGGAACGGATTAATTCACTTATAGATATAGGACAAGATGATTAAAGAAAATCATTGCATTGAGAAAGGGATGAAACTATAAGAGGGGGAAACTAGTGAAACTGGGGACAATTTTACAATGAATGGAATACAAATACAAATTATAACCATGCATATAAAAACTACATGAAATACAACATGAGCATCAAGAAAAGCTTGGAGAAAAATACAAGAACATATACAAAAAACTATAAGAGAATAGATGGGTACAGTAGATTTATTTGACATAAAAATGTAATTATAGCTCCTCTGCACTAGGAGTAATACAGAAAGGAAAGGCTAGGAAACAAATACTTACTTAAAGCTTCAATATAATGTATCACAAAAGCTTTTTTGTGTCTTTAAAAAAAAAAATGATGTCTAAAACTCTTTAAATTATAGCATGAGATTTTTTCTTGGATCTTAAAAACAAAGTAGTCTTAAAATGTCTTGAAGTTTATCATTTTACTTTCTAATTTGTCTTCGTTTGCTCCCTTTACTTTTACTGTAGGTCCAGACCTCTTGAAGGAGCGCCCCCTCCTGGTCGACAGGACAACAACAGCCTGGATCCATCCAGAAAGGTAGATTGAGTGTGTGTTCATCTCACTGTGTAAAGACACCATTTCATGGGGGGGAAATCCCAATAACATCTCAAAGCAGATACATGTTTGGAGATGTGTTCCCTAAGTAAGTGTGTTCCTGGTCAAAATTATCCAACCAAATACATGATTATCAGTCAATCATGTGCAAAAAAAACACCAAAAATGAAGCCACCCACTTGTTTAATAGAAGCTAAATGGCTTTTTCCTTTTGCTAACACAAAATGCAACCTTTAGGAAAACACACATTTTTAAATCCCTTGAGACATTATACCTTTTTTTCAACCCATTTGTCATTGCTAACCTCTAATTTGTGACTTCTCAAGTTACATACTTTTTAATTTCCTTGTAGAAGAATGCAGCAGGGGATTAAGGGAAAAACAAAGGAGGAGGGAGTATATATAAAGAATGAGGCAGTTAGCACTAGCAGATATAGTTGCAAAAAGATGACATTTCAAAGGATTCAAAGGCTTTATTTCTCAAAAACCCAATAGACAAAATGGGGAAGGTAAGTTGAAGGAATAAGAAAAATATGTTAACATAATATAGAAGATACAAAAACTTAATTGACATTTCTGACCGGATTCTGTCAGAAAGGTGAGTTTTTCGTGAGTTTTGTTTAAGACATTTTTTTTTTTTGGAATTAAACACAAGGTTGAAAAGTAAAGGTATACATAATTTTTTTTACAAATTTATTTATATTCCTGAGTACAAGACTACTGCAAGAGATTGTTGATATTTATTTCAAATCTTTCTTCCCTTCTTAATCTCATTCTGACAGCCTATGAACGATGTGCAGGTGAAGCCGAGAGAGAAGCTCCTCTCCTCCATAAGATATGGGAAGCTCAAAAGGTTTGTAGTCTAACTGGATTCACATTTTTCCCAGCATGCTCTAATGATCCATGTAGTATTTGTTGATAACAAGTCGAAACCACTGGCTTTACTTATGGTTCAGATACAAATTGATGAAACTGAAAGCAAAACATGCTAAATACTTTATTCAGATGAGCTAATGAATGTAATGGCAGTACTGTAAGAAATGGCAATTAATTCACATTTAATTTTCTCTGTTTTTCAGGAACCTGGGTCCAGCTCTGAGCAGAACAGTTCATCAGCTGTACTGCACTCAGGGAGCACTGACATAGCTTAATATAAAAACATATCATGAACATTTCACATAGTTTCTATCCCTACTTTACTTGAATACACATTTTTAGGATGGAATTGTCCTTTGTTATGTAAATATAAACATGCTCCCAAGTTCTCATTATGTATGAAGAATTTCACAAATGCCCCTGGGATACTTAAATAAAGTTTAAATATTGAATAGTATTTTTGTTATTGAGTATGTTAAAGATGTTCTACAGTACAGTTTGTGAAAAAGGGGCAGAAAGCACTGTGGTAAACTTCTAAACTGTCAGAAAGTAAATAAAGAAGAATATTTGTATTTGTTTAACCCCCTGTACTTTTCTTTGTGACCCCAGCTGCTGTTGAACAGCATTCACACTATGACAAGACAAACAAAGTTAACCTTACATATCTTTTTATTTTTCACCATTTGAATCATTTTATCCAGACTTTAACAAATGTGGTCCTTAAAGAACAGATAAGCAGGTACAAAATATTAAACAGACAACACGGGAGAGAAACATTTTTAGTGAAGAAAGGGAATTAATTCAGCGTTTTTCTCTGATATTCACCACCTCAAATATTAACTGGGATGTGGATGATAAAGGAAACAACATAAGGAGCCTTGACGCACTAATTTAATTGACCGCAGTCGGCAATGGCAACCTTGACCTTAGGAGTGCCGCTCTTTGTGCCTTGCTTCTCCATTGCCTTGACAACATCGACGCCCTCCACAACACTTCCAAACACCACGTGCTTCCCGTTCAGCCTGAGAGGAGTGAAGCTCATTAGTATGCGAGACGGTCATGGGAAACAGTTTGAATAAACCTGAATGCAGCAGCTCATGGCTGAGAGGGGAGCTCACCAGTCAGTTTTGTCTGTGCAGATGAAGAACTGGGACCCGTTGGTGTTTGGCCCAGCGTTCGCCATGGACAGTGTGCCCATGCCCTGATGCTTCAACTGGAAGTTCTCGTCACCAAACTTCTCCCCGTAGATGGATTTGCCTCCAGTTCCATCGTGGTTAGTGAAGTCTCCCCCCTGAAATAAATAGTTTACTCAGCAGTCAAGAGTTGAATCTGAGCTCGTTTTAAAAATACAAAGAAAGACACATTTCTAGCCTATACTGTACCTGGCACATGAACTTTGGGATGAGGCGGTGAAATGTGGAGCCCTTGTAACCGAAGCCTTTCTCCCCGGTGCAGAGAGCACGGAAGTTTTCTGTGAAATGGAGACACTTCAGTAAGTACACACCACATTTCTGTATTTTAGTTTGTGTAGTGTCTCTCTGCGGTTGTTTAGTGTCCCTTTGTAGTCGTTAGAGTCCCTTTTTGGTTGCTTTGCCACTCTTCTTTGTTTATGGTAATTTTTTGTGGTAATTTTGGTGTCTTTGTGATTCTTTTTTTTCTGTCTGGTGACTTGTCTTTTTTTTGTTAGTCTTTCTAAGTAGTAATTTGCATATCTTTGAGGACATCTGACTCCTTTCCAAAGCTTCCCGTCACAGCAGATCCATTGACGCTACTTTGCACAGATTATTCTGAATCCTACAGCACACTATACATCCTACAGTATAAACCCCCCCCAGACATTAAGAGGGCCTTGCGGAAAATAAATGTCTGGAGCTGGCCCTCAGGGTCCTGCTTTTGAGGATATAACATTAAAGTGCATTGAGTCACTTAACAGCACTGTATGACAGAGGAAGCATATCGGCAATTTCTCTGTATGAATGAGGTCAAATAAACAATGGCTACAGTATGCGGGTCAAAATGGGTTAGTCCTTAATGCATCCTGCAGGTTTCCATGTTGGGAGTTGAGACAGAGCAACCAATAGGCTGCCATCATCCACCAGGAGGTAAAACAAATCAATGCGAATTACAGCAAACAAGAGTCATTTCCCCTTTCCCTTATATTTAAAGTGTGAGAGCACTTGGTAGCATACATTCTTGAATCAATGTTTACACTCACATTCAGCTCTATAAATAGCTACGCAGGTTCTTCAGATTCATACAGCCACACTATGAATCACCCACAGCCACGACATATTCAGAATAAACAGCTGTGGATTAATGTGGACCAGTACTTTCCCCAACCAAACAAATCCATTTTCGGTGTGTGAAAAAGCAGGAGCAGTGTGTATTGCTTCTTGAAGTGATGTCAGAGCTTCCTGCCTGCCTTTAAATCTTACATACCTGCAGTCTTTGGGACCGCATCCGCTCGCAGCTGCAAAACACAAACCGTTTCAAATGAGTGGGTGGCAGTTGAACAAAAAATGCATAGAATCAAAATAAACCTCGAAGAAAGCTCAACATGTCTGACAACAACAGCAACTACAGGCAAAGTGGCTTGTTCAAACAACTGCAGGATTTTAGGCTTAAAGTTGAAATTAATCATTTAGGATTTTGTGTTTAGGGCTGCCAAAAAAATAAATTACACATAATTTTCTCAAATATAGTTTTGTTTAACTACCGTCATCAAACATTTGTTGTAATATTTTATTAAATATTTTGCATTATTCCATAAATATATCAGATCATACAACACAAGACAAAGCAATATATTCTTACATTTAAGGAGGTTAAAGCAGAGACAGGCACTTCACTGAAGGTGAGACACCCCAGGTGAATAGGGTAATTTTTTTTAACTTAAAGGTATCAGCTAGAAATTTCTCCAGTTAATTACTTACAATAAGGCAATTGTCTTTTGTATTACAAGTTTTCTGAAATAGCATGTTTAAATATACAAATTATCGATTACCTCATTAAATATGCACATATTTTAACACATTTCAGGAATCGAAATCTGAACTTTGGATAAAGCCAGGTTCAAAATTATTGTTTCATTTTGTAGTCATATTAGTATCTAAGGCTTTTACTGAAGGGATATTGGATATCTCTTTTTATCACTCCATAAATCAGAAAATACTGTCAACAGCCCTAAAATATCCATTTTCGCCATGTTTTTAGGTATACAATGTTGTATAATTCAGGCTATGAATGATATATGAACAAACCCTTCATAATATTGATAGGAATATAACTGGAAGGTTTGATGTATCTACGTGCTACTGAAGTTGACATTTCGAACTCAGAGTAGGAGAAAAAAACTCATTTTGAGAAAACGACCTTTAAAGATTGCAATGAGGCGCTAGCTAAACCCTCCTGTTCTTTGGATGACAGCTTGCGCATCGACGCACACCGTTAAGGTATTTCATGTTCGGGGTCATTTGTTTTTTGTATAACCTTGCTTCGTGCAAGTGACAATTGTTGTCGTCTTCTCTTTGAACGTTTTTTTCGCCGTTCTTTTGCCATTTTGAGATTTCAATTTCTAGCGGAAAGCTAACCAGGAAGTGTTTTAGCACACCACGTGACGCATATGAACGAATCACGTTGTCAGAAATTGACACCAGCCAATGAGATTTCGTTTCTTGGTTTCAGACCCCTTTGTGCTTTCACGATTGGTTGCTGATACGAAGGAAATGACCATATTTTGATCCAATGAGATTGTGCAGGAGAGACGGAGCTTTCCAACGATATCTCTGTTGACATGGTGCACACAGCGGTCGCGGTACTTTATGTTACGTTAGAATGCTAACTTTTGGTGAATTTAGGAGAAATCTACAGACGCAAATAGACAAACTATAGTCAAATAAACACTTAAATGTGTATTTTGTACGTTTTCCTTCCAAAAGCCTGAAAGAAAACATGTTATATAATCAAAATAGCACAAAATCTCAAAATTTACCAGTACTTGAAAAACGATGCCTGCCGTGTCTCGCCTTTTAAATATGAATAATATGTTCATTTTCACAAGGGTTGATTTTCGGTCCATCCATTAATACATTACTTCACTTATCATTTCAACTCGCATTGTGTTTTGTTAAGACACATCAGAGAAGATTCATCCCCCTTTATCTGCCCATCACACAGCAGCACCATTTGTTACACCCAGCTGTGCTGCTGGGCGTTTCCATCAGGATATGGTCTCTCTGGAGGACTGTTTATGATGTAATTGATGTTAACTGTGCTAAGACAATAAATAAAACAAACTACAACGGGCTATACAAATATATACAGCCTGTAAATGCAAATTGCGACCAAAATGGAATCCTAAAAGATGCATGAGAAAAGTTGACGCACTACAATATGTCAGTCATTTCTCCAGGCCCTTCAAAGCACACAGCTGGATGCAAGAGATATAGGCTACTTGTCATCAATTTAAACCTTAATAGCATGACGTTTTAAAGATAGTGACGAATGTTAATGTCTGTTTTCTTACCTCCATTATAACCCTCCCAGCGTTAGCTCCATCAATAGTGATGTCGAAGAAAACCTTGGGGTTCATCATGTTGATGAACGCTTGTGATAGAGTTGATGGGAATACGCACTTGAATTACTACCTATCGAAGCACCAGTACACTCTGTCTATTTAGGTCGGGTCTGTGTACCAGTGATGTAAAGGATTACAGCCAATCACAGCCTTTTCTGCTGAAAGACTGCAGAACGGACCAATAGGAATGAAGAGGGGCGGGGTTAGTGTGATGCTGCATGAGATGGGGAGAAAGATGGGCCTCTGTGGTGAAATTCAGCAAATTCAATGCACCCGTGTGCAAAGGTGTGTCCAGTTAATTCATTAATTGTAAAACAAGTTGACCCCGTTTGTTTCTTCTTAGCAACACGTAAAAAGCCAGCTCCTCTTTTAGGGACTGCTCCTGAAGTAACACTTTTTGATATGACCCCTTTGATAGTCCTGTTTTAAAACAGAATATGTGATAATCCAACTCCAAATTTGTTTTTTGGATGATGTAATGTCTCAAAAGAAAATGTATGTCAACAATCTTATTAGCAAAATATCATAAATGAAATGTTACTATGAGCAACATTTTTTTTTTCTTGCCTATTTATCAATCTGAAAGTAACTATAATCATAGATAATAAATGTATGTAAAGGGTGCAATAGGTCCCTCACGAATAATAGGGGTGAAATAAAAGTAAAGAACAAGAACCTCAGTTATATGAAGTAGCATTTTATGCAACAGTATTGGATATACATAAAAATGACAACCACTTCAAAGGCTACTATAAAAATAAGAAAGCCTCCAAAACAAACAATTTGTCAGATAGTGATTTTTAATTCTGATTCTGAGATTCAGGAAAGGGACAAGGTAACTGTAGGTACAATGACGATTATGATTAAAAAATAAATAGAAAATAATGGCAATTACAATGTGTTACAAAATATGTGGAATAGTTTACATATTAAAAAAACATTTTTTCTAGCAAATTTGCAGTTAAATAGTCCATAGTTTCCAAATATAACATTATTGGCTTTCTCAATTGGCAATGAACATTAGTTCTTGTTGCCTTGTTGGACCACAAAGGGTGAGATCATTCATAGAAAAAAACATCAGCTTTAAAAAGTGTTAATAAGAATAATTTCTTCCTCTGCATCTTTAACTGCATTACTCAATGTCAGCTGACTGTTTTCTGTCATACATGCATTAGTACGACCTTTTTACAATTGCTTTATAATCTTCTAACATACAGTATGTATACAGTGCCAACAATGATGCATTATCCAACTAAATAACATTACAATTACCATGATTAACAATTCATTTGATACACACACGTTCTCTAATGAAAACAGCTGATTATAGAGTACATAAACCCGTGTCATGATGGGTTATACATGTGAAACCATTTTAAAACATACTAGCTTTCAAATGGCAGAAAATGCCACGACACACAGCTGTACTCATTTACAGATGCTTGAAAAACCCTTCATAGGAAGGTGAAAACAAACCGAGGTAAAGAAGGGAGCTTTAATATATTTCACAGTGCTGAAGGATGTCAGAGATACAATGAACCTCAGCCTGCTCCCAAACTTCATGAATGAAAAAAATGTCTATTTTACATCTGGGCCCCGCCTTCATAGGCTGGGCTTAGTTTGTCCTTAGGTGAGGAGGCCCCTCGGATCTTTTCTTTTACTCTGCCATCGGACTGAACACAAAGAAACAAAAAAAGTGACCACTGCCCTTATCTTACATCATTGTGAATAAAGTCTGTTGATGCTCTGTATTTCCTTATTGTCAATAAAGCCCAAATCAACAGAAATGGTATCTACTAACAAGTATTGTGTGTGTATTAAAGCTCGATACACCTTGGTATGTGCCATAGAGCTCGATTGTTGTCCAAAAACACCCGAATACTCAGACACAAATGTGGATACATGTGCCGCTGAAAATAGTCCCTCACAAATGCCTTACTTCCTGCATTGTATTTGATTACCAGCTGTTTGAAGAAATAACTTAGCTTTTTTAAAACATAAAAATATAGATGTTTTTGTGTTGTTTTACTGATTTTTGCTGTCCTTGAATTGCATTGACAATTAAGGATCCGTTTCTCAAGATCTGCACCACAGACAGGAAGTCATTTAGTATTGAAAGATGGATCAATATCATGTTGGTTCTTTTCATGGGAGTCGTTGACAATACGAAAAGTAAAGAATATCCCTTAATGCAGTGGTCCCCAACGCGGTAGAGGGTTGGAGGGTTTACTGCTGTTCAATATATATTGAGGAAGGATTTTACAACTCTGGAAACTGTCATCTCAAAGAAAACAGTTGAAATCCGTTTGCTGAGCTACAAAGTAATTGACCAGGAATGTGCGTGTGTGCAAAATAGCGACAGAAACATTTGGGAACCACTGTATTAATGCGTCCTATAACTCCTTATAAACACACCCTATCTTCCATTGTCCTCCACTTCTAACTATTACAATATATGAATTAAATACTGTATATTTAAATCCTTCACCCTGTGGTTTGTGCTATAGTTTAAAATGCTGGTCTGCAGAGTCAGTGCCTACAGTTTGTACTGTTATGTTCTTCATGAAAGACAGTGATCACATGTGAAGCATGTTCCCTCCGGTTCCTGTAAACTGCAATGAATGAATTTACAGCAGGACACTTAAAAAAAAAAAGATACACAAAAACGCAATCATGTACACACTCGCACACACTCACACATTTATGCACACTCGCACACACCCACACACAGAAGAGGGCGCCCATAGAGACAGTGCTGGCTTTAGCCAATGAGGGCCGGGCTACAGCACCGTGGGAAGCAGAGACTGGAAGATGACTGGAGGGGGTCAGTTGTTCTCAAAGAGAGATAGCAGGTCATCACTGCTGTTGTTGGGAAGGTCGGGGGGGCCCAGGTAGGACAGCAGCTCGTCCGGGTTGGTCAGCTCAGGAAGAAGCTAAGGACAAATGAAAGTTTTCCCTTAAGTCAGAGTTTAGGTTTTCTTAAAATATACCTGTTGCATAAAATATAAAAAGGTCAACTTTTCTATTTAAGGTTTCCTTAGAATATTCACATAATTACTCAAGGTTTCCTCCCTTGTGCTCTCTACTTAAGGAATTAATATCTCATTATTATTTAAAATGTTAGCAAAAAGAATTAGCAACCAAAGTAAGGAAACAAACTTTCTTTAGGGTGCTTGAAATGCTTTAAAGAGACAACTTGGGAGTAAAAAAGGTATTTTCATATGGAAGTCGAAGGGTGAATTGCAACTCTTTAGTGTTCTCATGTTTAATTATGTATGTTCCGTGCAGTATACAAGCTGATCAATATTGGCCCTGAACCTACAGAAGAATAAAGGTTGGTGACCCCTGACTTAAGAGGTCTCGGATTGTGTTCACACCGACCCAAATGAACCGCACCAAGCGGCTAAACGCACCAGGGTTCAATTAAACCGGACTATACAAGGCAGGTGTGAACGCACCCTTAGTCCTGTGAAAGGGCCAGTTTGTGCTCTTAAACAACTGAACAGGTTGGTCGACTCACGTCTAGTGCGTGGTCGGACGCGTCCCCCCCGGGGGCTCCAGGGCCTCCCAGAACGAAGGGGCCTTCGTTCTGCAGCCGTGAATTCTGGGTGTTGATGTTCCGCTGCGACAGTGGACTGCCGGCGTCTCCGAGACTCTGGTTTCCATGGACACCTGAGCTGTGCTGCTGCAGGATGTTATGGCCGTGTTCCATTCGTCCAGGATGAGACGTCTGAGAGAGAAAGAAGGAAGAGACGAAAAGACTATCTTTAATTTATGGAAATAAAAACAACAAGATGATGCTATTAGGCACATTAAATTCAAACACTATGCTTTTGATAGATTGAAACCTTTTGCTTCTTTCTTTAGAACAACAGAAGTGTGTGACAGTAAAGGAGGATGTCTTCATTGTTCTCTCTGAAAACCTTCAGCAGACAGCTGAACAGCTGACAGCGACAGGTGGTATGTGGTGTAGATGCTCGTTATGTAATCAAATATATTCTCAGTCTATGCTGTCTACTTCAGGTTTAGATAAAGGCTCTTAACTAAACTCACAAGCCAGAAGGACGAGACAGTCCGTGTTGGTGACAGCAGCACAATATCAGCCCCTTTCAACTGAACAGCTCCAGGTACTGAAAGTCCCTGACTCTGGTGTATTCTGTGTTTCTGCAACATCTCAACGGGTTTGGAAATAATTAAGTAGTAATACTGTTGTTCTGTGATGTTTAAATGGATGTGATGAATGACATGTAGAGGGTCCCTTCCCAAGGTGGACTATCTGCTGATTGTTTTTAACTTTATAATTCAGTTTTACAAATAAGCAAATTAAGTTTGAATATCTTGGCATCCTCTCGTTGCTCTAGACTAGATCACACAGTCTTTCTGTGAAAGTGTAATGCTACGTTCACACCGGACGCGATGCGATGTTTGGGGGCGGCGCGATTACATGTAAAGTCAATGCAGAGACGCGATTATACGCGAATTCGCTCCGACGGCAGGCATGAAGCGATGGACGCGGCGCGAATCACGCGATTGAGCTGTGCCGCGTCAAACACGAGAGTTCAATTTTTTCAACTCGGGCGTCAAATTCACGTGATGCGTTCTCGCGGAAGCCAATCAGCGGTGAGGATCTCAGCTTGCCGTTACTGACGTTAAACCAGAAAACATCAGCCATAACTGTTAGCAGTTAGCACACAGATCACAGCTCCTCATATCTGTTCAGAAACTGTACAAAAGTTAAACAAGTACAAACCACAGACTGTCTGTGTCATGGCGAATACAGTCGCTGGTTTATTTATGTCTGTAGGCCGTTGTTATGAGTGTGGAGTGAGCATATACAACGTTAGCTTAGCCTGGTCGACCCAATCTCCATTCAGAAAACAAGCATTTTAAAAGGTTTTTCGCCTGCCGTCTTGTCTGCAGACTTGTCAAAGCATTAATTCATGGTTTTTACTAACCGGTATCAGTATGTTGTTACGTCGGCATCATTTAGAAACGTGTATTACAATTTAATCATGGTAAAATATGTTCATTTTGTTGTTGTTGTAGCTCCCGAGCCAGCGCGTCTTGAATGATGCGAGTAAACACAGCTGGCAGCCGCGGTGAAACTCGAGCGATTAGAGCGATGCGATAGGAGCGTTTAAAGCGAAGAGAATATTCGCATCGCGTCCGGTGTGAACGTAGCATTAAGGCAGCAGTGTCCTGTTGTCATACATTTCCAGCCTTTTCCGATGATTCATATTTAGTGTGATGAAAGACCCACATCAACAATGTGTTAGCCCATGGGTTCCTGCTAAAGATGTAAACACACATTTATAGTGTCAAAAAGGAGGAAATTGTTTATTTTTTGGATTATAGTTTTCAGCGTTGGATTAATCCTCATTTGATGCTCTGGTGAATATTTGGGTCAGCAGGATGTTGTATGTGGGGTCAAAAATAACCAACGTGCTTATTATAGTTTTTGGACAACAATGGCGCTCTTTGACACACACACACACACACACACACACACACACACACACACACACACACACACACACACACACACACACACACACACACACACACACACACACACACACACACACACACACACACACACAACACACTACACACACACACACACACACACACACACACACAACACACACACAAACACACACACACACACACACACACACACCACACACACACACACACACACACCACACACACACACACACACACACACACACACACACACACACACACACACACACACACACACACAACACACACACACACACACACCACACACACACACACTTGGTTATGGGATTTATTGAGAATAAGACAAAAATAGAATCACCTGATTTGCTCTTCTACCTCTACTGGTTGAAAAACCCCATTTGAACTGTGACATGATTTCAGTTACATAACAGATACCTCCTACAGTGGGTCTGTATGTGAGGGGAGCTCAGTGCCTTCAGGCTGGGGTCTATTCATACTCTGTTTGTCATTGTTTCCTACTCGACCATTAAGGAAAAGGCAGCGAGTGAACTGAACAGAAAAAAGACAGTGATCCTCGTAGCAGTGGCCAAAGGCTATGTCGAGGAAAAGGGACAGGAACATGCTGCATGTGTGTTTGCTTCTACATACGGTATGTTGTGTCAGAGAGGGGTGTTGAAGTAGAAGGAGTCTGACCTGCTCCGACTGATAGGGGAGGGGAGGTCCGGAGGAGGAGTACTCTCCCAGTGTCGGGGTGCCAGGAGTGTTGGGGAAGTCTGAGAAGCCTCCTTGGCCGGAGAATCCCTGGCTCCCTACCAAAACAAAACTATTACTTACAAACAGACAAGCATTGGTCTTTGTCCTCGTCGGTCATTTTGATGGACATAGCGGTAAATATTCACAATCGATTACAACCTGTAACTTTAATTGTAATCTTTTAATGATGAATAGACTGACTTAGTAGTATTTCATTTTCGTTCATTTTTGAATAATTTATAAACAGAACAAGCTTTTGGATTATGCTAAGGCCATGGGTGGACACAACATGCAGCAGATGAAGGATCTGCGATACTCTTTGCTCTGCTGCTTGAAATATTCTTCTGGGTCACCTCCCATCTAAGGGCAGATGATCTGAGCTATGAAGCATGATTTTGTTCAGTATGTGTATATAGAGAAAACAGAGGTTGTATACTGTACCAGTCAAAAGTAAACATTTACTAGGTTTAAAAAAGATATCTACAACTTAAAACTAGGTTAATAAGTTATTATTGTTTATAGGTTTTGTTTTTCACGGTTGACTCTTAAGATTTAATTGACATGATAACTTATAACAGACAGAGTGAGTTGTTTAACAGCTGACAGTAACAGCTATAGCCCCAAACATTGTCTCATAATTATCTCCATGATATTGAATGCCTGTCATTTAAATCCTAGACCAGTTTCAATCAGACAGATCTCTTTTTAGAATCTAACGTCATATCAATGTTCCCCTCTTTATTTCTGTCACAGAGAACAGCTCTACAGTCATTTTCAGTGTATTAAAATGTTCTAATTTTGGGTTCACTAAGACAATAACTGTCTCCGCTGCACTCCATCGTCTGATGATAACCAACAGCAGGAGTTGAAGCTCCACAAACAGAGGAACAGGTTGCTTTGTGTAGTATTTTTGGAGGCGTTGATGATGCTGATGATTAAATGTCCAAAACATTCAGCTCCTTTTCAACAGTTTGCTTTCATCTTGTTGAAATAAGTAATATAAGGCACACCTGTTTGTGCAGTAAATACAGTTTGATTATTAAGAAACAAATCAAAGAATAAACTACATTTTATTTACATACACATGGGATATTTTTCTAAATTAAGTACATTTTCAATGCTTGACATTTACTTGTTACATTGTGTTTACAGTGTGGTATTCATATTTCCCTCCACCACAGACTATCTGTTTCACTCCTCTCTGCTGACCCTACCTGGCCGGTTGTAGTCGGGGGTGTTCCTGCCCCCTGCAGACAGACTGTGGTAGGGGGACGACGCGGGGCCCAGAGCCGCGATCATCTCCATCACGTTAGGCAGCACCATGTGACTCGGGCTGACGGTCCGGCAGCGCTTCAGCACCGGGCCGTCCGGCTCCTCCTTTATGTGCAGGTCTGGTTTTACAGGCACCGGCCTCCAGCCACACACCGGGTCTATGGTGATCTCCTCATACTCTGAGCTGAGGGAGTAGGGTATGGAGGTTTATTAAGATACTTGATAAACATACAAATAATTCAAGGAGATGCACTAGTTACAATTATGTTTTTAAAGTCTGAGCTGCTGATTCCAATTTGTCTTTCTTTCCAAGGAACTATAAACGACTTAATACACAAACATTTTCTAACCATTTTCTCTTCCATTAGCAGCCTTCTATCATAGCATCTCTAGTTGGTCACATAACAAACACAAATAAGCACTCACTTCTGGATGTAGATGAGAATCCCGAGCATGTACTGGTCCACCTCCAGTCCTTCTAGCAAAGCTGATTTACTGTTAGACCAAAGGAAAAAGTGTTGGTTATATTTCATTGTGAGAAGATTCCAAAAAGGTGCAATGGGTGCTTCTTTACGTACTTGCACACAGGACATCTCCAGGTCCCTCTTTCACAATTAAGCTGCAAATAGGACTCCAGGTCGAAACACTGACAAATAAAGGAAATCACATATTAGCAAGTCATTTTAATTTGTCTTCGTGTGTGTGTGTGTGTGTGTGTGTGTGTGTGTGTGTGTGTGTGTGACCCCCACCTGTATGTGTCTGCAGTCGTGCCCCCTGGCTGGCAGCTGGATTCGTCTGAATGTGATCGGACATTTGAGGGAAACTTTGATTGCCGTCTGCTCTACGCCGTCCTCTCCGTTCAAACCAGGGGTCCCGGGGATCGTACCGCTACTGAAATTTCTCTTTACTGAAACAAGAAGACAATTAAGAAAAGCAAAATGACTTTCTAGATCGATGAATAACTTTTATCAGTCTGTTTATTTGCCATCAACGAATACAAATAAGTTTACTTTTCAGTATTGACTTTCTTTGTAAGCAAAAGTGTTACAATTGAGGTTTACAGGGAGACCGAACAACCCCCAAACAAACCAAAGAGGTTGCAGGACATGTGAGCCTGCTGGTGTACACACACTCTCTAGATTTGTAGGGTGGTTGAAGAACTAGGAAGGCGTTTCACTCAAAACTCCAAAAATATCCTGCATTCAAAATCTTGTAGTAAATGTGGGTAAGTTTCAAGGTAATGAACTTAGTTACTTTCCAACACTAGACACAGAACCACTAGGTTAAGCTAAACAAACATAATCAGCCGCTGTTGTGCACCATGCTTTAAATCTAAAGCGAGCTGGATCTGAACTCACTCTTGGTGATGCAGTGCTCGGCAGGCAGGAGTCTCTTCTTCATCAAACCCTGCAGGACAGACCTGACGGACGGCCGGTGGACCAACTGTAACACAAACAGGTGCGACTGGAAAGAGAAAAGGGTGGGTTCAAAATGGGATTAGATGTTTAATGTAAGAAATATGAACGTGTGGGAACATGGGAACCAAACGCTGGGACAGGAAGTTGTCATTTTCAGGGTACTTACACAGCAGCAGGCGGTTACTGTGATCTGCACTGTGTTACGTCCCGGTTGACACACCGTCTTCAGGTACAAGGGCTTGTGGGAGGTTTTGTTGTCCCCTCTTTCAATGCACAGAGGAGTTGCATTGACACTGACCTAATACAGATGAAAAAAGTACATTATTATATTTATTTAATGATGTTTAGCCTTGTTTGAAAGCAGAATCCAACAATAATACAAGTAGCATGGTATTGAAGTACAACAATCAAAAATAGCATCCTGGTGGTATGAAATCTCTACAATGAATACAAGTGATACTTTATTTGAGTAATGTCGATAAAAACTAGGGAAATAAAGCCAAAGCTCTAAAATAGCCATAGTTACCCTTTAAGAAATAGTGCCGTATCATGACTTAACTAATAAAGAAAGGCTGATGATGCTCACTTGAACGGATGCAGGCCAGTTTGTGTTCATCTGTCGGTCCTCGTGGTGGTAGCATTTAAACTGCAACTCCAGGTCCGGCCTGCAGGGGGCAACACAACACTTCCATCAGGGGAGACTGGGTGGGGTTATCAAACATTCCTCATTAGTTTTTTCTTCATGTCTCTTAGAAATCCTTCAGTTAGAAAAACTGAAGGATTAACACCACATATTTATCTTGTATTCGCAGTAACTTCGGCTCATCAGAGAGTAGAAGACTTTGAAGATATTATTTCAATATTGTTATGATATACTATTTTATTTGAATATAAAACCCATGAGATGTTTCTTTAAAAGGGAGTAGTGCTGCACACAGACTGGACATTCATAGATGTTTCAATATAAAAATAAAACTATAAATAATAGTACCTCAACATGAGTGTTTTGTACACAGAGTCTCTCAGCTGGAAGGCGTGGTTACTGACGGCCAGGTTGTGCTCCAGTCTGAACGGCTCCAACACGACGCCGTCTCGTACCGGGAATGTCAGACGCAGGTCGTCACTCGGGTTACCTGGAATGAAAAAGCCAATGTGGTTTTTGATTAACTTGCATACATTTCAACAAAAAGCTGCAGACGGTGAGGGGTGGAAATGCAGATTTTAATGTGTAAAGGCCCTTTTAGTTAAGTCATTATGCTTCTCAAAACAATTTGGTCAAAATAGTTATATTAAAAAGGATCTTTTACTGTTACACTGATTACCTGTATGCACTGTAACAACAGGTTAGTCATAGAAACAAGATAATGCTTTGTGTTGCTCAACAAGGATTGCTCAATAATGATTGAGCAACACATTCACATGCACTACATTAACCTGGTAAATCTGTATTCATCTCAGGTCAATGACAAGTATTTTCCTCTACCCTGAACATCATGTTATTTTATTAACAATCTGTACATAGCCAGACCTCGGAAAAAAGTTTGGACTTGCCGATTTAATTCATTTTAAATACAAAGATACATATATTTGTGACATTTCTTTTTTCAGCTCTGTAGGCAATTTCCCTGCCTGCAGTGTTTGTCATGCTCTAACGTGCATCTAATAAGCTTAAAAGCTGGATGTGGGGTCTCACCTGTAGAGATCTGCTGGGCGTTTATGTTGGGTTTGATGTCCGGTGGGAGGTAGGGGGGTTTTGTGTCCTGGCCCGGGGACAGGTATGGGGGTATTGACGTCCCGGGTGTCATGGGGGGCGTGGGATTCCCTCCCATGGGAGAGCTGGGATATCCGGGCATCACTCCACCCCGACCTGGCTGAGGGACGAGGATGAAAACGAGTGCTTAGAACTTCAGTGTTTCTCATTAAAAGCCATCGTCAAACTGTTAGAACTCAGTCCGATAATGGGATTAAGAAGAGTGCATTTATGGCTTACCCCGTTGACTGCAGCCTGTGTGAAGGCATTGTATCCTCCTGCTCCTCCAGATGGCAGGCTGCCCTGACCATTGAATGGCTCCGACTGGAGAACAGAGATGAAACATGAAACTCAGCTAATGATCGCTCTCTCTGGACCCTAAAGAGTCCAACAGTGCTGACAAAATTAGATCTGTGTGCTGGAAGCTTTCAACAACTTGCTTTTAATAATGTGATCAAACATCACCAGGTCAGGTGGAAATAGGACTATTCTTTTCTCAATGAAAAATGTATTTAAAATAATGTTTTGCTGTTTTACTGTCCTGCCTGTCAAAATCTTTATCATTAGCAAACTGTGAACTATTTAGAAAAATATGTTTTATAAACAAATCTTAAATAACTTGTAAATAGCTTAATAATAGATTTTAGTGAATTATTGCAATTTTTCTTTGCACATTTTTCAATGTCATTTTTAACATTGGTGATATCAATGTTAGCATGAGCCTCAAACATCCAGAATCTTTCGGCTGTAATTTGTACAGGAAGTGGTTTACCTTATAATACTGTGGAGGGTTGGGCTGGCCGGCTCCTGGGGGGAACTGTCCCAGGTTGTGCGATCCAGAAGAGTACTGCCCCATGAGAGGCATCCGACTGGAGGGGTAGGAGGGTGAGGGCGCACATCGCTGCTGTGGACCAGGGGGGTACTGCAGTGGCTGGTTAGGGTACCCCGACATCCCACCAGAGCCGTACTGCTGCACTGGGAAACCCTGGGGAATACACAGAGTACATTGTAAGAATGTATTGCTGAAGGAGCAGGTAAATATTCAATGCATATATTATATTTATATTATACATCATATATTTTATATATAACACGTTTTATTTTGTCCACCGCTTCAAACCATATCATCATATTTAACACTGTTAAGATATGCATTTAAAAATACAAACAGTGAAAGACTGGGATTATTAATCCCAAATACAGTTACATTTTTGTTTTAAAAAGGAGCCTGTGCACTTTGTCTGGTCAGAAAATTCTATTTCTTTTGGGCATGAAGTTAAAGAATCTACAGTCTAATACTCAAACATATTCAATTTGTAGTTAAATAAAAACAGAGAAAAGCCCCCAAGTCCTCACATTGAAACTAATTAAAACAAATGAAGATTCAGCTTTTTCCCCAAATAAATTGGTTAATTAATTATTTAACAGATGTTAAATTAAGATTGCTGTTGATGAATCGACTAATTGTTCAAGCTCTCATCTTATCAACTACTTCCGACATATTCAATGCAACTACTATAAATGGTAGAGTAAACTTGTAGAGCAAAGAAAACTGTAAACAACTTATGAGCAGTGCGTTAGTGTTGGCTTGAAGAATCCACACCAGGGCCTGGCAAAAATCTAAAAGTGTGTGTGCCCCTTCTGCCCCCTCACTGACCTCTGAATTATACGGCCGTTTGAGCCCCTGCTGGGGCCCCGGGATAGCCTCCGTGCTGGGGCATCTTCTGAGCCTGGTGGGGGTGGGTGGGATACAGGCCTGCGGTGGAAGGTGGAGGTCCGGGCCTGGAAGAGACCATCCCTGGAGGACCGCGGGGGCCTGCATGAGACAGGAACTGGGTGCTGTAAGAGGATGCTCCACCCATCTGGGAGGGAAGAGGAAGAACAACAGCAGGGGTGAAAACAAAGCTTACCAGGTGTTTGACACAGAGCAGAGGGGGTGAGTGTGAACAGAGTGACAGGAGGGGAGAAGTAATTAAAACGCTGTTAGTGTGACTGTAGGAAAAAACAGACCAAAGTCTGGATTTATTAATTATCAGAATCTCTCCAAAATATCTCACTGAAACTACATCTAGGACGAAAAACAAGCAAAACACTAGCCACATATTGTATTTCTCCGATAGTTCTGGTTTGAATAATTTCAATACAGAAAGTATGGCAACTTTTAAAACTAAGTCTAGACACTTAGGATCAGCGATGCATCACACTGTGGCTGCCTCCTATTAGCTGGTTAAGTTGTTTTGGTCTTTCTTCATTCAGTTATACATTTTTTCATGAGGAATAACTTTTTTTCAAGAATCTCATGAGCACATCTTTGCTTTTAGAGTGGAAAGTTTACTGGAGACATCCTGTGCAGGAAAGCTGATCTCATGATGTTAACAAAATAATAAAAAAAGTAACATGACCTGCTAGAAGACTGACATGGACAGGCTGCATCAGAAGGGGATAGTTGTTTAGCCAAAAGAGATGAAATGATTCTGGGCTGGGTTAAAAGCTCCCCGGCTCCTATACAGTCACACATGTACCTGGCCATAGCTCATCTCCTGGTGCTGTTTCTCCTGTATTGCCGCAACAGTTGCCGTAGCAGTGGCAGTTGCTGTGGCAGCGGCGGCGGCAACAGCAGCGGCAGCAGCCTGAGTGAAGTCTGAGGGAGGACGGATGCCCATACCGGCACCTCCACCGTTACCAGAGTAACTGCAGAGAGAGGGGAAGACGGGGAGAGGAGTGGGCGATGAACTAAGTGAACTGAGCGTGTGTGGTTTCGTCATGAGCATGAGTCAGAGCAGTGGGAGAGAGCAGCCACGCTGACATATTTTGATGGAAAATCACGTAGATGTAGCTCAAAGCGTAGTGCTACATAACACTGAACATTCATCAAACTAATTTAGTTTTTATAGTTTCATTTCTTGCTGATCACAGCCAGGCATGATAAATAATGTTCCCTACACAAACTGCTCAATGTAAAAGGACAGTTAACCAGTTAGTAATCAGCTGGTGCACTCCACTCCTAGCAGCGAATATTCGGCGCGCGCTTCAACACATGTATTTCGGTTTATTCAAGGCATTCATTTTGTTATTCTACATTATTGTTGTTTTATAGTTATTTGTTAATGTTTGTTAATGTAACCCAATTAGTTTTCTTTGAAATTGAAAAGGATATTGCATTGTGTTTGTTACTTTCGTTGCAGTTGTATATATGTCTTAAGAGTAATTTGGCTAGGCTTCCTATTTTGTATGGACATGTTTTTATTTTTGAAGGAGTTAGCGCTGTTGACAGGAAGTTGTTGTTGCTATGGAAACAACGTGACGGAGAAAAGGAGCAAAGATTAACGGAGAAAAGTAACATCTACATATAAAGACAGAGAAAGTAAACGATAAAATGTATGGTTAAGTGTTAGCACCCCCCGAAGAGACACAAGCTCTTACGTTGATATTGGAGATTTCAATAAATTCAATTTGGCAGCCGCAGTGCAGCGCGGCTGCCAACAAATAAAAATAAAAATAATGAACGAATAACGAAATTGAAAACCGAATAGTACTTCAACGACTGAATATTCGGATATTCGGGTACAGCCCTAGATAATTGAAAATGTGATATTGTGACAGCCCTTGTTGCAACACAGCCCATGCCACATGGCTATACTATTTTCTTGATTTCATTAACATATAATTATAAACACAAACATCCATAATCTGGTGAAAGTTCAAATAATAATTTAGCCATTAATCAACTTGTTTCTGCCTTTTCAAATGCTTTGCACAACACAAATGGACATGGAGCATTAAATGAACTGCAGCTGATATTTGGTGAGCAGAAACGCAGCGTACCTTCCTCCGTAGCCCGAGGCTGGGTTGTAAGCAGGGTTGGGACGTCCGTACATGATTGGCTGGCCGTATCCTTTGGAGATAGCGTCTCCGTACGAGTGCTGGCCCATGAACTGGGACCCCATGCCAGGACCCATACCAGGACCACCACCAGGCATCATGTGACCGCCAGAGCTCTCACCCGGACCCATGGGTGAACAGAACACCTACATGAGAAAAAAGAGAGAAGTGTTATCACAGTAAACAATCACAAGAACCATAATCAAGTCAATCAGAGAGAGAGGAAGGAACACAGGCCACAGTGTACAGTCATATTCACTTCTAAGTATCACAATGATAGTCCCTCTGATATGAGATATGACATCCCTATTTTATGAGGCCATAAAATTGAATAATGAAAGTCTTTTAGTTTTTCTCAGCAGTTATGGCGTTTAAAATAAACCCATTCAAAAGACTGACTGATATAGTTCAATTGACCTAAATGATTGACATTTCAAGTGCATTTCAATCTTGCAAAGCTTCATTCAAAGCTGAAAATAATTGTTATATGGTACATTGAAAAAGTCCTTGAAAGGAAATCTCAATTAAACTCAAATATAGACTTATTTAGGGCTGATAGGTCTTGATTGTAACCTGACATGGTTTCTATTTAGTTTTATTTGTATGAATTCTAAAAAGAAATCCAGTTGCAGAAACATATAACACGAAACAACTGAACAAGTAGCTTAAAAAAACAAAACATGGCATAGATAATATTAACAATTTACCTTTACTGTAAAAGTCTTATACTATATGGGACTTGGATTAACATTAAATGTATAAAACAATAGAATTTGGGATGGAAAATATTAAATAAAAATGACCTAGGCAATGTCATCCTTGTTCACCACTTAATAAAGGCACTCTGGTTCTTTTTTAAATGATAGGAGAGAAAATGTTTTTTTTTTTTAAATGTGCCTTTACTGTAGCAGTCTGGTAAATATGGTTCTATTTTTTATACATAAATAATACATGTATTTATTGTATCTTTACAGCACATAAAACAGGAGGAGAAGGGAATAATAAAAGATGTCCCCGGGTGCTGAGACATGTGCTACCTGGCTGTGTGTGGGATTGGTCACGCCCCACACTGTGGTTACTACAGAGAGAGATCCTGGGTGCTGATTGGTTCCTGGTTGCCAGGAGACTGGGTCATTCAGGAAGGGGCCGTCACTGCTGCAGGAGGACATGAAGCCGAGTTACAGAGATGTTGAGGAAGGTTCAGGAGAGAGATTCATCCATTTACCAATGACTGTACCACAGACTTTCATAATGTCCTCAATACAATTAAAAAGAGTGTGTACCACCTTATTAGGGTCTTTTTTTACTGGAGCAGACATACAGTATTGAGTAAGAGGTCATCAATACATCATTTACACCCCGTGAGCTAACGATGAACCCGAGCATGGTTTATTCATCTGACGGTTGAGGTTACCCTGTGCTTCCTCCTTTAAAACCGTTTCCTTAACAGGAAACTACCACAACAGCATTGATGTCATACCACATGTTATGGGTTAATACAATTTAGATCTTTACCCCAATAAAAAGTATTTTTACAAGTTAATTTACTATCTATTTTCCATAGTTCTTGGGGCAAAGAATCATAAGGTCACAAGATTGAAATTAACTACTTTGCTCTTTCCCTTTTCTTTTATCACCAGGCCCATTTCTGAGGCTGTTAGTCTTGTCAATGAGCTGGCAACACATTTTAGCTTTCACGGCTTTCTAGGGGGGGAATAGAGCCTTCAACAGGCTTTGTGGCCGCACTCAATTAAAGGAGGCTTTTGGCTCGAGACCACCTGATCAAGACACTTCCAAAAAGGAAGAACAGAGGACACTCAGCAGCCGGTGTCCTTAACAGTTCTTAATTAAAGATTTGAAGCAGTTTGGTGTCCATTTATTTTGTCTTTTGTGCCTCTACAACAACAGGTTTTGCAGTAGCACCTCCCATGGCTGCACTCTTGAATTAACACTATTTTCTGATTTAAAGATTATTTTTTCTGTACAGACTATTAATGTGTTTGTCTGTATGGCAGGAGATACAACCTGACCTACATTCTAGTTGTGTGATAATATTGTGTTTATTTCACCACACAGAATATCACTTTTTCACTGCATTTATCACCGTTTCATCTTATGTAGTATTGGGGACTCTACTCATAGCTCTGAAGATGTTGCTAGTGGTAAAGATCTTGGCTTTTTACATTTGAATCTAGATTGGAAAGGAGTAAACTGCATCAGCAGGCAACTAGCTTTATGACACCAGCTATCCAGTATCACAAATAAGTGTTTCTGTCCAGCTGTTTATTTGCATTTCACATTATTACGTTAAAAAACCTGACACGAAACACCAGATTTGAAGATGACGTAGAGTGAACGTCAGTGAAGTGCTGAAAACATCAGACGTGTGTCGAGAGGTGACTTCCTCACCACAGAAACGTCATATTTACATCTTGTTTTCGCATGGTTTCCATGGTTTGATCTAAACCTGGGCAGATGTTGTACACAATCAGCTCAAATGTCTGCCTGATCAGTTGTTGTTTGACGTGCAGCATGATGGAGGGGAGGGGGGGGGGGGGGGGCAATCAATGATCTGGCTTATGCAGTCAGATGAAGGTCAGAATTTTGGGTCTGCAGATTTACAGCCTGATTTCCCTCATGGTTGCTGTCAAAACATCCCTAATACACCGTCTGAGCTTATTTGAATATTTCTGAAGTAGTATTTCACATGTTGTGGATCCATGTATTCTTCGATGCGACTAAGCTGTGATTTTAAACTGAACCATGTCTTTCAGACAACTTCCATGCCGTATTTCTCTTCTTATTTCTAAGTACTGATGCCTTTTTTTTGCCTACATTTCTGAGGTCGTTTTACTGGACAAAATCGACCAGGTGTTCTTTGCTAATGTTCAGAGAGAGCTCCACATCATGGTTGGTCAATTGATCGGTAAAAAGGCCAATTAAAACGTGCAGCGAGTTAACCCAGATACCAGATCGAGGAAAAAAGCACATTCATATTTGTAGAGGATGGAAATGCACTTTTAACTTTGTTTTCTTTTATAATTGATCCGAAAAATCTAACCAGGTGACCAATACAGGGTGTCACATGGTTCACCTGAGGACACTGAGCTTGATGTCACAACAGTGTGTGTGTGTGTGTGTACCTTTGTGGATTGAGAGGCAGGGAGGGTTTCATGGAGTTGAGGGGGTTCATCGGATGAACGGGGGGATCATTACAGAGCCCCCACAGTCCTCAAGAGGCAGCCCTGAGAGGGAGAGAGACGCACACATAAAAAGACGGTTACTCAGAGCTCATTTGCTGCACAGCAACAATTCATCATCACTATAGCCCACACTGTGCGCACAAAGACACAGCGCCCTCCCACTCACTTTAATCTGTATGTGTGTGGACTGTGCACATCAAAACGTTAGCCTATCACTGGCTGCTGTAGCTCTGATAGCTCTCTGAGGAGGGGGAGGGGTGCTGGAAGCTAAATTTAGCTTGCTGATTTCAAAAGGAATTTAAGAGAACAGAGATGTGAAGAGGCAGACTCTTCTCTCAGCAGCTCACCGACGTACAAATCAGTCGCTAACACACACTTCTGTTGTGTCGCTGTGAGGAATCATCTTGTTCTGCGATTTGCTTCATTTATAAACATGTTGATCTGCCACTTTCCCTCCTTCAATACCAGATGTTTTCTCTTTGTTTCTACACTCCATCTCTGCTCCCGCTAATGATTTTCTTTATCTGACAGTTAACAACGGATATGCAAATGGTATTTATTTGTAATCGTTTCTTTGGTAGGGACATTGCACATTAATGAACACTTACAGCAATAAATGTGCCAAGCGTAAATATGCCGGATTTAGCTTTGAGCTGCTTTCCATCCCTCACATAAAACATTTCATTTCTGCCATTTGGTTTCCTTTTTGCACTTTTGCAGATTTGGGTCAGACACCCCACCCCACGTCTTGTGTAGGAGGGGAGGTGGGTGCTTGAATCACATGACCGTTATACCTGAATTCCCTCCTATCAAAAGGCATCTTCAGCCTCCAGACAGCACCTTGTAACTTCCATCACAGCTGAACGTTAACCACACAAAGAGCTTGTAAGATGTCTGTCTCCATAGGCAGCACAGGCTGTACCTGCAGTGCAACGACTGAGACACGCTGTTCTCTCACAATCTCTTTTGACCTCAACTTCCTGACCTTTCCTATACACGCAGCTCTTCCTCTTCATCCAACTGCTTTCTTTTCTTGTCCTTCCGCTCTTATGTCGTGTCAGCTACTGCCATCAGACTGACAGCCAGAAACACTGGAGGCGCTCAATCAACCCTCAGCTGACCCTCGGATTTCAGCCACTACAAACGCTGTTTAGCTTGGACTGATTCCAGCTATTTGTGCAGAAGCAGATGGAACGGATAACAGAGAAAGGGTGGTTCAAGTTTAATAACCCACATTTATTTCTAATGTTCCTTTTCAATGAATACTACAATAAAAGCCACAATGAAACAATTGTCTGCAGACTGTGTACCACATGTTCAGAGGATGCAGTCAAAACACTGATTTATGCAGTTTGAATGCGTTTTTTTGAATGTCTATTCAATTATTCTGACAATTATTATTATTGGTTCAATGAATTGTGAAGGCATACAATGCTCCTTATGCTTTTTTAGAGTCTAAAGTAAGGTCTAAATGTTGGCTTCTTTTGTTGAATGAAAATGTTTTTAATATCTGTACTTCAAAGTTCAAACAATATCATGCAGTTATAATAATCGTCATTAACAAACATTTGAAATTTGAAACTGTAAAACGGTAATAAAGCAATCTTTACAGCTTAATATTTGTTATGTTATCACGTGACACTTAAAGCTAACATTTACAACAAAGTTATTAACACTAATTAAAACATACTGGAGTCTATGCATTTGTTAAAAGCTACTGATTACATCTGGAGCCAAAAATATATAATCAAATTCAATTAAACCTAATAATCAATTCACGTCTGGAGAAAACTGCTATTAATGTTCAAGTTGCTGCTCGAGGGTCCATTCAGGAAAGATGATTAAACACTCCCTCTGCTACTTAATCAAATCAAAAACACAAATACACTTTACATAATTAATGAGTTGACAGTCAGACCACCACGTAAATTAAATCAAGGCTCTTCAGTGGCTCTTCTGTTACGACACCCACTGTGTGCAGTGATGGAATGGAACTCCGTACACTTACTCAAGTACAAGTTGCAGGTAGTTGTGGATAACTTATTTCATGCAACTCTATACTTCGTTTCCACTATTTCAAAAGAAACATTTTACTCCACTACATTTTTTTGGATGACCTCAGTCATTTTTAAAATAAAGAATCACAACACTGAAGAACAAGTTCACATTTAAACTTGATGAAAAAACGATGCGATTACCTCAAACGTTGTGTATTGTTCGACAAACAGTCCAAAACACACATTTGTTTCCACACATTATGATATGAAACCCCTTGGAATAATATTAGACTTCTGTATTCATTGCATTACAAAGACAAGTGTTAGATTGTTTCATCCTACCCTCAGTAATATAAAGGGGGTGGACAACATTATAGTGACACCTTTCAATATAAAACAACCACAGACTACATGTCCAAATTGATCATAGAAATGAATACACTTCAACAGAAACTGAACATCATGACCTTTATGAAGGGATGAGTTTTTCAGGACTGCTTGACTAGACTGCATTAACATTCGCCAGCTGTATCTGATAAACTGTTGTTATTCCCAAAACATCTACGAGTTGCCCATCAAACATTCCTGAAGCGCAAAGTGATATCTGTCCAACAGTAAAAAACCTAAATATTGAAATATCACATGACAACTGAGATACTTCAACTACGAAAGAAAGACTCCGAGAATGACAATATTTCCTGATCACTTTTTCTTTGATCAACCAATTCACTAAATGATGAATTGGCTTATCCTTTTTGTTTTATTTGCCACTGAATTGCATGGCACACATATCAATGAAAATAGCTGAGCAGGTACATTGGATTGACTCGGAACGGAAAACATTTGTTTTCTTGATAATAAAATATATCACCTTTTGACAACAAGGTACATTCTAACACCTGCTCACAATATTGTCGGGAAATTCAAAGTACTTTTCTGAATAACCAAAGCAGCGTAGGAGGCCACTGCTGCCTGATAACTGGGCTGCCGGCTGAAAACATGCTCAACAATACACAAGCTTAACCTGGTTGATCCTGAGCAGCACCTGCCTTTAATAAAGCTTAATTAAGAGTCTCATTGGGATATGAGAGATTGTCAGTTAATAGTCTTATAGACACAGAGGAGCAGGAAGCACCGTGGGAGGAAAATGTCAGCTTGCAACCATCAAAAGATACAAATATTACTCCAAGGAATGAAACACTGTCTCAAGCTAACAAATGGCATATACACATTGTGAAGAAAGGATGTAATAAAGGTATCCAGCACATTTCATATGTTGTTTTTGTTGTCATTTATGTTTAGTGGTGGAAAGTATCCAAGTACATTTATTCAAGTACAGTACTACCAACGGAAATAATGTAGCCTACTCCTTACAGCTTTATTTACTTTGCAGGTGCAGATTACTAATGGTAAATATATTGCTAAATTGTGTAATGCATGATAATGTAAAATTACAGATTAAGATAAAACTTTCTTGATTCTGGGGTAAATTGATAAGCTTCACAGTAACATATAAAATAATACAAATGATTCCCAGCTTTACCAGGTTCACAATTAAAGTGATATACATGCACGAATAAAATGCAAATGATATATGGTTCCGAAATTGATCATTCTGCATTTTAAAGAAATGTTTTAGATTAGATGCTTACAGTGTTGTACTTTAACTTACAGAGTAAGATAACATTGCGGTTTTTGGTACTTTTAACCTTAGTAAACGATTGGGGTAATTACATCACACAATGTGGTGGCATTATAAGAAAAATAATGCTACAGGTGCCTGATTAGAGCTAAAATGATCCCGATATAGGCTTGAAATTTACCGGAAAATATACAGTGCAAGAAAATTAATCGGAAAGAGTTAACAGTACAATTAAAGCCCTCACACTTTACTGTGTATCTGTAGAGTTATGTCCTAAAGCAAATCAAAAATCATCAAACCTAAAACATCTGGATGCTCCAAAAAACAACAGCATCGATCTGCTTTGAGTCTTAAACCACCTTCTTCACCCAAGACTGCTTTTTCACAGAAACAGTGAAGCCAACTAACTCAGCCTGGCTTCCAGCCAACACAACATGTTATTGTACCCATGATACATTCAGGAAGTCATGTCAAACAGGGGAAGAAAACAGGCACTGGCTACCTAATAAAAACACATTGCAATTCAACAACAACCCATGCATATTAAAACAACTGTTGTGTAAACCATTCAGGGTGCACAATCAGCTTGTGCAAAACGCACAGAATTTCATTTTACGATATGCCAATTTGTATTTTGTTTTAAAAGCATTGGAAAATTATGCAAATTCTCTGTACCTGCAAAATATTATATAAAAACAAAACATGCTGCTTACATTTGCAGCAGTACAAAGCAGAACAAAGCATCTCAGCAGTGTGCATGCTATGGAGGAGTGCAGCCTCTCTCTGTCTCTTCATGTTATCCATCACTGAAAAATGAAAATAGCAGATGTTTCCTTTCACCTACCTGAGCTGATTTGCTTCATAAACGCAAATAATATGCAGCAAGTAAAGCTGGGAGTTAGTAATGATAAAAATGTAATATCTAGGTGATATTGCTGTGTTGTAGCCTCAAGTTTGAGTGATCTATCTTGTTAGTGGCAGTGAGTGAAACAGGAGCTGTGGAGAGTCTTTAACACGCTGCTGCTGCGCCGCTGGCACCGTTAGCTCCTGGAGGCTACTTAGCTAAGTATGTGTAACGTTAGCTTGTTCTACGTTACACTAAGCGAGTATCTATCTACAGCGTGTTATAAGCAGTTAACTGAAGAGCAAACAAGGCTATATTGATCATTAGTAACTGTAAACAGAGCTTACCTTTTGCCTGCTCCAGCTGCCAGACGATGAAGTGCCTCTTGATTGTAGACGGTTAGCCACTCGGCTAGCTAGCTAGCTAGCTAGCTAGTGTCGCAGTCCCGGCTAACAAGACAAGGCTGCTTGATTACCGTGTGGTCGAACATTAATAATATATTTGTATTTTGTTATCACACACCAGCCTATTGAATAGTAAGTATACTATAAATAACCCTTCAAATGTTATTATGCTACTCTTATTTATTGCTAATTATAAATTATGAACAGTGACTAACTATGAGCTATCCGAGTCAATTAGAATAAGCGTGTTGCAGTCTGTGCTTGGGGCAAGCCATAATAACCTGGCAGCTCAGCAATACCTTCCTCATTGCACAATGACCCTCTATAATATATTCATGAGATCACAAGGGCTAATGTCTCCCACAGAGAAAGGCATTTTCCTGTCCCTCCTCCTACAAGTCAGGCGGGTGGCTGTCTGACTGACTGCAGACCAGAGCAGCAGATCATTTTAGAGAAGAGAGAGGAGGAGGAGGAGGAGGAGGAGGAGGAGGGAGAGCATGGACAATGACGTCACCGGTGCATGATCACGTATGTATGATCCATGCATGCAACATGATCTGTGCTTTCCACTTATGCACCTGCATACATGTGTCACAATATTGTATCAACACACACACACACACACACACACACACACACACACACACACACACACACACACACACACACACACACACACACACACACACACACACACGCACGCACACACAGGTGGGTGGTGTCACTTGCTAACCAGGCGGTGTTTCTCCAGCAGCAGCAGCAGCAGCAGCATCAGGGCCAGCAGGCAGCGAGTGTTATTGGAGTCATTAAGAGGTGTCTGCAGTATCTTGCCAGAGGGCAGTGCAGCGTGGAGAATAAAAAAAGTCCAACCTGCCTGTGTTTTTCAGACCTCTGTTGCCCTGGAAACAGGTGCAGAGATTTCCCATTTCTTCATTTTTTTCCTCCACACTATCCATATCTCTCCCCACCACCACCACCTCTACACTCCACACTGCTGCTGCTGCTTCCTCCCCCACGACCTGCCGCATAGTACAATCACACATACACACACACATTCACACATACACCCTTTGCTCACAATTTCCAATCTACGACTGCAGTCATTTCACAATGTCACAGTAGGATGGAGTGAATGACTCCTCAACAACATATCTGCACACAAAACCTGAGACATCAGTGAGGCGTTGAGCCTCCTTTGACTCTGAGGCAATGCTGCAACAACCTGACCTCCAGGAGGAAATAAAAAGGGGGGGGAATGGGGAGGGTTGAGGAGACAAAGAGGGAGTAAAAAAACAAAGCTGCCTGCACTCACAGATTAAAGAATGTGGTTAATCTCGCTTTTTCCCCCCCCCCGAGGCAAGCGAGGAGAAAAACGGGGACAGGAACAGTGCCATCTTTTCTAAAACTTGATTATTCTCATGGCAGTTCTATAGAGTTCAGGCAGATGGCTCACCATATTGCATACATAACTCTAGGTGTTATTTTTTAATATTCATGCATAAAAGTGGTTTAGACAGAAAAGGCATACAGCTGCCACCAGGGGAGACACATTTACTCTGGGCATGTCTCCTTACTTTCAGGCCTTTTTAAGTCATCCTTGTGTTTCTGAAGTGTTATGTGTGCATACCATTGTAGTGACTTCTCTTTGGCATGAGGCAGAACATTCCAGGGAAATGGCTGACCCGGAGTAACACAGTGAGGAAGTGAGGTGCTCCACCCTTTTATTGCACAAGCTGCTGTTTCCTTACAGACACATGACATTGTGTATGGGAAAACACAGCCACACATAATATACGCAGCTAGAATAGCAGCATGACTATCATCACAAGAACACATGACAGTGTTTCCCCCTCAGCTATGTCTTAAAAAAAACATACAAAATCTTGATTTTCACCCTGCATTCATCAATGACCTCCCATTTACTCTAGTACAGTGCTGAAACAAGAGAGCATTGAGTATTTTTGTGTTGCTAATGACTGAAACAATTAATCTATCATTGAAAAAGTTGCCAATACATTTTCTGAATAAATCTCGGGCTCAACTCATTTACTGTACTTAAGTGCAAATATGTGACACATTAAAGTGTTACTATTTAAAGTTATTTTTCTACTTCCCTTGAGAAAAATATTGTATTTTTTACTGCACTACATGTATCTGTCAGCTATTTTGACTGTACAAATTATCATTTTAAAAACATAATTAATTTATAAATATAGTGCATTTAGATACATTTAACTTCAAAAAAGATTGTATAGAATAAAGTTAAATAAGCCATCAACCACAATTATTAATACATACCGATAAAAAGCAGGAGAGTAATTTTTTTACTTTCATATTTTAGGAACTAATATTACTCATGTACTTTTAGTTAATTCATATTCTAAAAATAAATGATTTAATGTGAAGTGGAGTACTTTCACAGTGTGGTATTGCTTTACTTTTTTTTAAATTATATAAATACTTTCTCCACCACAGCCATAACAGATAACTCCTTTTCTCCTGATGTCTCTCTCTCTATATCCAGCTTGGCCATCTGTGTGACCCTCCATTTGTGCGATATGATGATGCAGTAGTGTATTTTTACTCCAGTCTCACTGGTTGAAAGCAGTTTGACGCAATTAGCATGAACTCCAAATCATCCTTCTGTCCTTCGACCCCTAATTTTCATCTTTTTACATGTTACTCCTACGACCATCTGGTGCTACAGAGACTCACTTTTCCTTTCTATTTTCATCTCCACAGAAATGATACAGCCCTGTGAATGAGTTGTTGGATTCTCCTCAGCAGAAACTTACTGCATTTTATCCAGAACATCAGGAGCAGCTTGACCAGAGCTGTGCCCCCCTGATGGTACTGTACATCCCTGGGTATGCTTCAGCAAGCAATGGGGGGAATTATCTGAATACATTTTTTACAGCTATTTAAATTTTTTCAGATCTGGTTTTACAGTTAAATATTATAACAATAACAGATTTTTAAACCTGTGTTTTTCCCTTTTTGGCTCATCTCAAAAACGCAATGTCTATCGGAGGCCTATTTTCATGGTCTGGACCCAAAAAGGGAAGAGAATCCAATATTTACCCAAAGTTAGAACTTAGTTTCTTTACTTTTTTTGTTTCCACTTATATACAACCCATCAGATGTATCTGGTGACCAATTGCAGGGGCCCATATTGGGGGGGCCAGCTGGTTTACATGGATGTAATGTGAACTATAATATACACCACTGAGTTGTTTGATCTGTAACATTATATTGCATTTGATAAGCTGAAGATATATTGTGTTTAAAAGATTAATTGGTTTTAAATAACCAGTATCCACCGTTGTTAGATAAATAAATATGGTGGAGTAAAAAGCAGATGTGGGAGAAGTATAGATCTTGTAGGTGGGGTAGGTACATTTGGAGAAACCAGCGAGTGCGCTAGAATTTGAAAATACACAACCGGAAAAAATCTGCCACTTCCTTCAGACTTCCTTACAGAGCCCCTCCTCCAACACACACGAATGCGCACATGACCAATGAGGGCACGAGATAAGTTTGTGCACAGATGGAAGGCTGACAGGTAGGTAGGCTATCCAGTTATTTTAGCCGGGCCGGCTCAGATGATTGGTCGTGCTTTTTACAGTACTACGGCTTCCACAGATGACTTTTTTTAATGGATTTTTTGGCTTAAAATATTCATTGCTATCGGGATGATAAGAGCATTCATTACATTACATTACATTGCATTTAGCTGACGCTTTTATCCAAAGCGACTTACAATAAGTACATTCGACCAGGAAGATACAACCTTGAAGAAAACAGAATCATATAAGTACATCAGGTTTCATAGAGTCAAACATTTCAAGTGCTACTCAACTGGCTTTAGATGAGCCAGTCCTTTATTAGTATATAAGTGTTCTGTTAGCAGTTATTTGTTAGTAATTCTATCGCTCGAAGTGGAGTCGAAAGAGATGAGTTTTCAGTCTGCGCCGGAAGATGTGCAAGCTATCTGCTGTCCTGATTTCAATGGGGAGCTCATTCCACCATTTTGGAGCCAGGATAGCAAACCCACGTGTTTTTGCTGATGGGAACTTGGGTCCCCCTCGCAGCGAGGGTGCAGCGATCCGTTTGGCTGATGCAGAGCGGAGTGCACATGCTGGGGTGTACAGTTTAACCATGTCCTGGATGTAGGAAGTGCCAGATCCATTCGCAGCATGGTATGCAAGTACCATTGTTTTGAAGTGGATTCTAGCAATTACTGGAAGCCAGTGAAGGGAGCGGAGGAGCAGAGTGGTGTGGGAAAATGTTGGAAGCCGCTGCATTCTGGATGAGCTGCAGAGGTCGGATGGCACATGCAGGTAGACCAGCCAGGAGGGAGTTGCAGTAGTCTAGGCGTGAGATGACGAGAGCCTGGACCAGAACCTGCGTTGCTGGGTCAGGTGGGGACGTATCCTCCTGATGTTGTAAAGTGTGTATCTGCAGCAGCGGGTTGTAGCAGCGATGTTTGCAGTGAAGGACAGTTGGTTATCTAGGATCACACCCAGATTCCTTGCAGTCTGAGTCGGGGAAACAACAGAGGTGCCGATGTTGATTGTTAGGTCAAGAGTGGGACAATCTTTTCCTGGAAGGAAAAGCAGTTCAGTCTTGTCAAGGTTGAGCTTGAGGTGATGAGCAGACATCCACTGAGAGATGTCCGCTAGACAAGCAGAGATGTGTGCGACGACCTGGGTCTCTGAGCGGGGAAAGGACAGAATTAGTTGGGTGTCATCAGCGTAGCAGTGGTATGAAAAACCATGCGGGCTAATGACTGATCCGAGCGAGTTTGTGTACAAGGAGAAGAGGAGGGGACCAAGAACAGAGCCCTGAGGGACCCCTGTAGTTAATTGACAAGGGTCGGACTCGGACCCTCTCCAAGTTACCCTGTAGGTACGGTCTTTGAGGTATGAGGTAAGGAGGGAAAGTGCAGAGCCTGAAGCTCCAAGTTTTTGGAGAGTGCAACGGAGGATCTGATGGTTCACTGTGTCGAATGCAGCAGACAGGTCCAGAAGGATGATGACAGAGGAGAGGGATGCAGTTTTGGCAGTGTGCAGTTCCTCAGAGACAGCAAGGAGAGCAGTTTCTGTGGAGTGACCTGCCTTGAAACCAGACTGGTGCGGATCCAGAGGGTTGTTCTGATGGAGATAACAGGAGAGTTGTTTAAAGACAGCGCGTTCAAGTGTTTTAGACAGGAACAGGAGGAGAGAGACAGGCCTGTAGTTTATAACATCAGACGGGTTGAGAGTGGGTTTCTTTAGGAGAGGGTTTACTCTTGCCTCCTTGAGACTGTCTGGAAAGTGACCAGAAGTTAGAGAAGTGTTGATGAAATGGGTGAGAAACGGTAGAATATCAGGAGCGATAGTCTGAAGGAGGTTTGAAGGGATAGGGTCCAGAGGACAGGCGGTAGGGCGGGCAGAGGTAATGAGGGTAAGAACCTCACTTGGAGAGAGAGGGGAGAAGGAGGTTAGTGTGTGGGTGAAGGGAGGGTCTGGTGACCCAGCGGTGAGTAAAGGTGAGTCAGAAAAAGAAGAGCAAATATCATCAACCTTTTTTTCAAAGTGGTTAACAAAGTCGGTTGACAGAAGGGAGGAGGGGGAAGGGGCTTTGGGAGGGTCCAAGAGGGTGGAGAAGATGGAAAATAGTTTTTTGGGATTGGAATAGGAAGATTGGATCTTATCTTGAAAGTGCTTTTTGCCTGAGAGATCGAAGCAGAGAAAGAGGAGAGGAGAGCCTGATAGGTTAGGAGGTCGTCATGGTGTTTGGATTTCCACCGTTTCCGCTCATGCTGCCCTGAGGATGGTTCTATTAGCACGCAGTGCGTCATTTAGCCAGGGAGCAGGAGGGGACTGACGAGCCTGCCGAGATGTGAGAGGACCAGTGGCGTTTTTATATGTACAAAAGTTGTGGGGCACAAAAAACTTAGATGTCTATAAGCTTCTGCAGTGAGGTTCATGGCTGGTGAGGCACTGGCACTGACTCTTCAGGTTTACAAATATTATATTTTGACCTAAATCAAAATATAATATTATTTTCAAAAGCTTTTTTTGTCTGATGCTTCAATTAATTTTAAACAGACAGTTCAACAGAAGGATACCCAAAAAATGTAATTTTATCATTTAAATATTGAATTGTTCTCTCTTAGTAAGATCCCATTTTCAATAAAATTGCAGTCTTACCTTGACTTGAAGATTAAGTCCATTTGCCTATCCTTCTGGACAAAAATCTCTATTACTTTTTTGTAAAAGTCCTCCTTGTGTTCTTGTAGTTTCAAAAGTCTATAAAAAAATCTAATCTAATCAATAGATTTATGATTCGAAAATTATAAAAGTAGGGTAGACATGTGGATATTATCCGGCTGAACAAAACATGCATTTATCTAACAGCTACGTTTCCCACAGACCTTATTTGGAGCTATTTTCTAAAATCTTATGGAGAAATCTCATTGCTTTTTTTGTCGAGGGAAGCCATGCGCAGCTTACTTCCGGGTTTTAGGACGCGTCACTGCAGCTCTCTCGTCTCCTCTTCACACACCACACTTTTCGCGGCACACGCAGGGGCGGACTGGCCATTGGGAATACCGGGAGTTTCCCCGGTGGGCCGGCGCTGTGTGTGGGCCGGAGGACCAACAAAAAAAAAAAAAAAAAGTTTTATAAAAAAAAAAAAAAAGAATTCTTTTTTTTTTGCCTAAATCCTACCGGCCCACATTTGTAAGTGTTCCGGCCACTCCCTTTTTTTTGTTGCTTACCTAAATCCTACAGGCCCACATTTGTAAGTGTTCCGGCCCAGCCCAGCCCAGTGGGGTGTGGCCAGGGTTGGGTTGTAACGGAATACATGTAACGGAATACATGTAACGGCGTTACGTAATCAGAATACAAAAATCAAGTAACTGTATTTAGCTCGCATTACATTTGAAAAACTAATAATCTGATTACAGTTACTTTCGTAAACCTGAAGTGAATACATTTTGGATTACTTATTGGAATTATTGGTGGAAAGATTTCCTCACAACATTTAATATTCATTACTAAAGGTACAGCCGAATCATCACAGCGCACAAAACCGCGCAGATGGACCAAAAAGGGGAGCGTTTGAAAAAAATGTGCGGGTCCGCTCAGTGAAACGATAACAACGTAACATGGAGGAACAAAAGTCTGCGTTTAAATCGCGTGTGTGTGTGTGTGTGTGTGTGTGTGTGTGTGTGTGTGTGTGTGTGTGTGTGTGTGTGTGTGTGTGTGTGTGTGTAGAGGTGTGTGTGGTTAAAACACATCAGCCACACCGCTCTTTAGCCTTTCTAATGATTCTGAAGGTAAACACAGTGAAGGCGGTGCGTGAAAGGCACTGCGCGCTCCTCTTCTCAGAGGCTGAATGAACCCTCCCGCTGCCTCCTGGTGCTGCAGAGATTTCATGAAGTGAAGGAGGTTTTCCTTCTATAAAACAGCTGCGGGCAGCAGATACTGTGAGAGTCACAGACATGAATACATAGATCAAGGCAGACTGGTGCACACACTCTCCTGTTTTGCCAATCCGGTGCTTAAACAAATATAGCTCTACACCCCTAGCCGAAATGTCCTTAAAATGAAGTCCGAGTTCGACATTTTAATTCATGTCCTGCCAACACTGGCAGGACAAAAGGCGACATGCCCTTTCTAAGCCATGTCCTCACATCCCAAGCTGCATGTCCGGTGCCTTGCTCAAGGGCACCACGGCAGGGCAGGAGGTGAACTGGGACCTCTCCAAGTAGAAGTCCACACTCCAAATAGGTCTGGTCGGGGACTTGAACCGGCGACCCTACGGCTCACAGTCCAAGCCCCTACTGACTGCCATAGATTTAGTCCCTAATTTTGCTCTCAAAATGGACCAGATTGATGCATTTAACTTCAACATTTAAAAAAAAATCTTCCCGGGGGAGCTTGCCCCCGGACCCCCCTAGAAGAAGTGAGGTCCACCACCTGCCCACACCCCCTGTTAAATTTTCTCACCCACATTGAGGATGCTTCCTACGCCCATGTTTTATTCCATGTGTCAAGTCAGGCAAATTGGGTCAAAATGTTATTGCATCAATGATCTGTTAACATTAAAATCACTAAATATATGCCGTAACTATTTTGCTCTAGGCAACTCAAGGGCTCAGGTAATGTGATTACTATATGAATGAATTGAATTGTCCAAAATAACATAGGGTTTTTTGTTAAGTAACATACTTTCGTCGCCGGCCGGCCGATACATTAAGTCTGTCAATTAATCCCCGGGCCACTTTTTTCCCCCAGTCCGTCCCTGGGCACACGTACAGCCAATCAGCTCTGAATGATGTGAGATGACGTATGGTGGGGATGGCAGCACTATGCCCCTATGGTCATTATTTTTTTGCCACACACATTAAATAGGAAAATATTCTGAGCATGCGCAGTGTAGTTTTTACAGTCACCATTGACTTAGACAGTAAGAGGGAGGGGCAGGATCGGGTTTTGTCCCACATGGCTCTAAACAGCTCAATAGGCACACACTGTAGACACTAATTAGAAGAACACAGACTAAAACAGCAATGTACAGACGAATCAGATGATTAAACATGATCTTAAAATATATTTAATATATTTTTGAATTTATTTTTAGCATTTTTTTGTAATCATTATTTGTAATACTTTCTGCTGACACTAGGTGGGGCTGTGCCCTAATGACCAGTCGCCACTGGAGAGGACAGAGAGAGTCCAGAGAGGATGAGAGAGTAGAGAGGAGAGTTTCTGCAGCAGAGTTTGGAGGCAGAAGTTGGAACGAGTCAGACGAAGGGAGGGCTGAGAGCACCGATGAGGCAAAGGTAGAGGGGGAGAGGGAACGGAGGTTACGGCGGACAGGCAGGATGAGAAGAGATTAGTTTGTTATGTTTGGAAAGGGGTAGAGAGAATGAAATGAAAAAGTGATCGGAGGTGTGAAGTGGGTTTACAGAGAGGTTAGACGTAGTGCAGTTCCTTGAGAATATGAGATCAAGGACATTGCCAGCTTTATGAGTTGGTGGGGATGGAGACAGTGAGAAGGCAAAGGTGGTTAACAGAGATGTTAGTTCGTCTATCTTCCCTGTCTGGAGGTTGAAGTCTCCGAGAAGTACAGCGGGAGGGCCAGTTTCAGGGATGTGTGAGAGGAGATTATCTAATTCCTCCAAGAAGTCCCCCAAGGTGCCTGGTGGACGGTAGAGAACAACAATGGTTAATTGTATAGGATGGGTTACTGTGACGGCATGGAATATAACAAAAAGTGTATCGCGAGCCGGTTTCTCAAACTTACCTACCCCACCACAAGGTAAAAGTACCAGTGTAGGAATACTCTGTTACAAGTAAAAGTCCTGCATTCAAAATGTTGCTCAAGTAAAAGTACAAAAGTATTAGTATACAAATATACTTAAAAGTACCAAAAGTAAAAGTACTCATTATGCAGATGTTTTGATTATAATTATTGATGCATTAAAGTGTCATAGAAAGCTGGTAAAGGTGCAGCTAGTTTTAATGACTTTGTATACTGCAGGGTAGCTTGTGAATTTACTCCAGGTATAAATAAAGTCTTATTCAAGTGTTGATTATTACATTATTAATCCAAATCTGCAAAGTAACGTCTAAAGGTATTAAATAAATGTAGTGGATTTACCTTAAATGTGGAATGGAATGGAAGTACAAAGTAGCATGAAATGGAAAGTATCTCAAAGTATTTATATAAAATACTTTAGTAAATCTACTTGGTGGTTATTTTCCACCTCCGGTAAAAAGCATGATATACTGTTTTAATTTGAAAATGTGATGTATAAAGTATTATTATTATTATTATTATTATTATTATTATTATTATTATTATTATTATTATTATTATTATTATTATTATTATTATTATTATTATTATCTTGCTTGAGTTTGACATTCAAATTATAGAAATAACACAATTATTTTTGAAGTGGTTTTGTGGAAATCCTGCAACAACAAAAAAATCACAGCTGGTCTGCTGCTGCCACCTTGTGTTAAAAATCTCAACTTCACTTCCTGTAATACTGTTTTGGTACCATGCTGATAAAAACTGTAGTTTAGAATACAAATAAAACATAAATAAAATAAAAGGTTAGTATACATAAGGAACCTGGTCAAAATAATTACCATCAAATCTAATGTCCCTATTCTCCGCAATAAGATTATAGTTCATGCTGGATTAATCTCAATTGTAGTTAAAACGAATGTTCTGTTGCAGAAGGTTTTAACATATTATAATGGAAAACGGCAATACCACAGAACCGTTTCGTGGATAATGTATAACTCAGTTTCATTGCAGAAGAAGCACTGGCGCTTTAGTTCACTTTCGTTTTCGCTGCAAAGTGAAAGTAAACTTTAGCCTGTGTTTGAGGAGTCTTAACTGCGTTTTCATCGATGAATGCAGTTGTTGAAGATAATTAAGTGAAATCTCAACACGTTATACTCGCTGTCTTTTGTGAAAGGTGAGTATTTTGAACAATTGTGCTTTGTTGTGTACTGTAGCTCCTGCGTGACAATGACAGACAAAATGTCACACTCTTTGATACAGTATATTTCATTTGTTGCCTTTCTGCTCTTAAAACGTAAGATTTGTGTGTGGGACAAACTAGCAGTGGTGGAAGAATTACTCAGATCATTCATTACCTTAATTGAAAGTCGAAATGACATATTGTGAAAATACTCTACAAACGTATTGTACGTTAAATGTCAATTATTATCCTGAACTAACATTATATTGATGCATTATAGGGTCATTTTACAGAAAAGGTGGAATCTGGTTGTTACAAATCTGCTGAAATATATTCCTTCTAAAAACATGTAAAACCTGTTAAATAGCAATAACTAACTCTTAACTTGATGAATCCACAACAAGTAGAGCTTAAAGTATTTTTATTTTTTAAATTATTTTTATACTTTATACAAAGCTTATTTGTATAGGAATGTCACTGGTGTTACGTGTTACCAGGAAGAAGAGTAACACCAGTGACAATTTGGAGAAAACACTACCATTTTAACAAAATGGCTGCAATGTGTCAGACCAAATGTGGCTTCAGTCAATATCAAAATCGTTTAACTCTTCAATACAATACATTGTCCCATTCAAATGTTCACCCCTAGGGCTATGCAATGAGTAACACTAATGACAGACTTGAAAGACGCATGTAAAATTTGAAGATAAAATGACACCTTTAACAAACAAAGTAAGAAGTATCTGACTTTCCTTATGTCTTTGTCCACTGCATTGTCTCAAATTATCTCTTGTTACAGGAGGCACTTCAGAGACAGTACATTATTTCAAAAATAAAAGCGTTTTGTGTAGCAGTAACACCAATGACGTAATTTTGGGTGACTGACATTTATTTGATATTATTAATAATAATTTGCGTATTTTTTTTACCATTTCAATGTTATATTTAATGTATGTAATGTTATGTAAATAAATATAAATTAGATTTATTTATTGAAAAAAAAATCTTTTAAATTAAAACTATAGGCTCCACTTCCATGTATGATCAAAGTGACAAGGCAGTTCCTTGAACTTGGCATTTTAAATAAATTGCAATTTACGTATAAAACCATTTTTATTTTTTTATTTAGTACCATTGCAAAGACAATCTCTATGTATTCAACATATATAATGAATGTGAGTATTAGGTCAACGTCATGTATTTTGGTGTCTGCAAAAGTAAGTGACAGCACTTCCACCTTTTCTGTAGAATTATCCATTAACATTTCGTATATATCCAGTGGCGGCGCCAGGGTATGGCTGGGGCAGCGCTGGGCTGGGGTAGGCTACAGCCATACCAATAAATGGGCTGGTTTAGCCCCACCTTACCCCCAACATGAAAAATGATGTTAAAGTAAGCAAAAATAAAGTCCGCCAACTCGCGCGGAGTAAATTGCACAGACAGCAGTTTGTAAGATTGATTTCAGTAGCCACTTGTCTAGAAATACCGAAGACTAGAAACGGTTTTGAAAACGTTTGTCACGTAGTGATCGTCTTCTCAATAGAACATCTTTGATAATGTCTTCTGGCCAATCAGAATCAAGATAACTGCGTGGTGTTGTTGCAGGAAGTCCCGACGGAGAATACTTTTGCGGTAGTACATCTCTATATACATCGATACAACATTACGTGTTGATAGAAATCAACACGTAATGAAATAAGACTCCACGGTTTGATGATTGATAGGTGTGTGGGCTGTCTTTCATTTTGACACACAGAACAATGGGGGCTATCCACCCTTATCCACAATGTAAAGTAATTCACACAGCCTCTTCCCTCTTCTCTCTGTGGAGCAGCAGGTTCAGCTTGCAGAACAAAATAACAAAAAACTAAAATGTCTTTCATTTTTTTTTTTAAATATGTCGTGTAGTAATAGATTTATTTATTTTTCTTCTCATGAGAGTAGCAGAATGTGTATTTTATGTTAGTATTTCCAAAAAATGCAGGGGTTGGGTTTTCAGCATGTCAACTCTTTCACCTGTGGAGAAATTGCAGGATTGGCTCCAGGTCGCCCTTTTTATTTACTACAAGACAAATGTGCCTTTTTATTTCATACAGTTCAATTGGGATTGAGACAGGGAAATAATCTAAACCTCACACATGGTGTTTCACTGTCAAGAGGAGCGTTTTACCCTTTACCCAACAAAAATACTCTGGAGCCGCCACTGTATATATCAATGTTAAAGCTGTTATGATCACCTACAATCAGTTTTTGTAAGGCGGTCATGAGGTCAAAAGTTTACGACCAATCCCTCACTTTCTTTTTACGAACTGTCATGTTTTTGTCTTACCTCCAGCCAGGGATGGCTGAGGGCCAAAGCAGCAACAGCTCCATGAAGATATTGAAGCCTGACGTACTGCACAATGGCAAAAAAAACTCAGGTGAGGCCTCCTCTGCATATAACTATTAAAAGAGTAAAAAAAGAAATGCAGTCTACTTTAATTCCGCTTCATTAAAAAATGTGTTTTGCTTCTTGTTGCTTTACTGTAATTTAGCTTCACAATGCAGAATGTTGAATGAGGAACATTTCCCTGAGCTCACATTACATTTCAGTTTAACCCCTGGATATACTTGCAGGATTAGTTGGAAGCAAATCAAGGTCCGGCATGAATCTTAAACAAGTGATGTAGAGAGATGAAGCCTGCTCTCTTACCTCCAGATGTGGCCGACGGAGGAGAAATCAGCAAACGCTCCAGGGAGATGACAGAAGGGTTTCAGACTGGAGAACTGCACAAGAGCAAAGTTCAGGCCTGCTCCTCCTGCATTTAGAGATGAAATAAGTAGTTGCCTATAGATTATAATATCAATGAGGGAAAGTAGGGAGATTTAATTCACAGTATTTATAAAGAAGGGAACTTGAATGTTTTAATTGGGAAATCGTATCAGACACAAATTATAATTCCCAGGAGAGAGAAATGTATTATATTACAAGTTTGAAATGTCCAGCAACATATTCTGGATTTATGAAAAATCTTGTTCTTCTTAAGTGTTATCTAGAACCTTTTTGTGTGTGTGTCAGCCACTTCCTTTTCACTGTAATTTGTCTCTCACCTCCAGAAATGTTAGAGGACTTCAGAAACAACTCTGAGCAGGTGAAACAGTGTTTTCAATCTGCTATAAATCCTGATGGAAAGGCAAGCTCAGTTCAGGCAGGCCGCTCATCCCCTGGACCCCCCTACCCTGCACCTTCCTCTACTGGACCCTCATATCCTGGACCCTCCTACCCTGCACCTTCCTCTACTGGACCCTCATACTCTGGACCCTCCTACTCTGCACCTTCCTCTACTGGACCCTCATACTCTGGACCCTCCTACCCTGCACCTTCCTCTACTGGACCCTCATACTCTGGACCCTCCTACTCTGCACCTTCCTCTACTGGACCCTCATACTCTGGACCCTCCTACCCTGCACCTTCCTCTACTGGACCCTCATACTCTGGACCCTCCTACCCTGCACCTTCCTCTACTGGACCCTCATACTCTGGACCCTCCTACTCTGCACCTTCCTCTACTGGACCCTCATACTCTGGACCCTCCTACCCTGCACCTTCCTCTACTGGACCCTCATACTCTGGACCCTCCTACCCTGCACCTTCCTCTACTGGACCCTCATACTCTGGACCCTCCTACCCTGCACCTTCCTCTACTGGACCCTCATCCCCTGGACCCCCCTACCCTGCACCTTCCTCTACTGGACCCTCATACCCTGGACCCTCCTACCCTGGACATTCCTCTACTGGACCCTCATACCCTGGACCCTCCTACCCTGGACATTCCTCTACTGGACCCTCATACCCTGGACGCTCCTACCCTGGACATTCCTCTACTGGACCCTTCTCCCCTGGACCCTCCTCCTCTGGACCTTCTTCCTCTGTACCCTCCTCCCCTGGACCCTCCTCCTCTGGACCTTCTTCCTCTGTACCCTCCTCCTCTGGACCCTCCTCCTCTGGACCCTCTTCCTCAGTACCCTCCTCCTCTGGACCTTCCTCCTCAGTACCCTCTTCCTCTGAACCCTCCAGTTCCCCGGATGTTGTAAGTGCTACACATGTTGAGAGGGCTGAAGCAGTGAGGAAGAAGAGGGAGGACGGCCCTTCATCTTGTTACCTGCTGAAGGATATGAAGATAATTCCACAATGTGACATCAAGCTGGGACATCTGCACTTCAGCAAAACTCACACTGTCCTCGTAGATGTAAGATGTTAGCCTTCTTCTTCTATCTCCAGTAACTATGTACATTTACTCAAGTGCTATACTCAAATACAATGTTGAGGCACTTGTACTTTAACTAAGTAATTAATTGTTCTGCTACTTAAGACTTCTACTCCACCAACAACTAAGATCATTCACCAAATTAAATTATGAATTTCACAATGTAGAAATACTCTTTTATAAGTCGTGCAAAATGTATACCTTAAGCAGTAAATGTACTCATCCTGCAGGAAAATATGCACCAATATCTGATTCGATGTGACATTATTAGATTCATTAATAATAGAGCAGCATTTTACCTTCATAGATGACTGATGTTAAGCTACTTATAACTAGTTTATATACATTGAGCTTGTTCAGTCAGATGGTTCCTCTCAGGGGTCAAGACATGATTAATGGGGGAGGAAATAAGAGATTATGTTCCGTTTTATAATTTTCCTCATCTTTTTTTCTTATTTTATACTCAGGTGGACATTTTCAACGGTGGAGCAGGACTTATACCTCAGGACGGAAGAGACGTGTGGCACAATGACTTTGTGAAAATGCCGTATTCTCAGTCGAGTCACATGAAGACTGGATATACGAAGGTTAGTTTGAAGCTGTTCACATTATGTTTATCCAGAGGTTGGTAGGGACAAGACAAGTTGTAGGAAATATATGATGTCCTCATTTTCAGGGATACAGATACATTCTCCTCCAGTCTAATGGTGGATTATATCAAAACGAATAGAGTAAATGTCCTGAGAAGTTATTTGATTTTTCCATCTACAGCAAAACAACACGGTTAGGTGGGAAGTGATCTACAAGCAGCTGAGATCTCTGTCCAAGAAGACGACAGCCAGCGTCAAAGATTTGGAGGTAATCTGGCTATTCCATCAACATTTGCATATTTAGTTTTGCACGTTGACCATATTTCTCATACTGTGAACAGTTGTACATTCCTTCCTCTTAGTTTCAAACACTCTATACTTGTTTCTTTTGAATGTATGTATTTAGGCGTCCCATCTCCTATCATAGCGGTCACTATCAATAAAGGACAAATGCCCGACAAACATACATACATGATTTGTAGCACATTTCCGTTTTATATTTTTGAGTCTTGACTCTTTTCTTTCACTGTTATTTGGGACAAGAAGTAAGGCACAATCCATACTGTATATACGTCAACCAACTCGGCAATAAACCTGATTCTTATTCTAACGTGTCTGCAGTAAACATGGATTGTACTCCTTCAACCTGTGTATCTCTCACTAGGATGCTATCATCAAATATAACCCAAAGTACAAAGGTCAGTGGTCCTTTGATGCCCTCTCCAGCTTAGTTAAGGTCAGTGCCCACGTGTTAACACATTATTCAAACATCTGTTTTGTGGCAGAAACCCCTTTAATCATTTGTTATAATTATATTTCATCATCAGGCCAACCCGAATGGAGATAATTACTCACCCAAACTATTTCAAAAGATAGCTGAGCTGGCCTTGAGGCTGCCTGAGCTCGTGAAGAAGGTATGACACTCACTGTCTCAGCTTCACTATACAGTAGTCACTATCACACTGATATTTGATAATTGACCAAGTTTGCATCTATGTTTCCAGGCCATCCCGCTGCTTAAGAGGGGACACACTGCAGCCATCACCCTGTCACAAACTCAGATAGCCTGCCTGCTCGCCAATGCATTTTTCTGCACTTACCCTCACCGCAACTTCTCCGGTCCTAAAGCAGAGTACCACAACTACCCCTCCATCAACTTCACCCGGTCAGAAAACACCCATACCACTCTGTTACACATCCAATTGCCAAGCCTAAATACTCTATTCTTCTCATTCTGCATGTAGTCTGTTTGGTAACTCGTCGTTCCGGAAGAAGCAGAAGCTGAGGGCCATCATGCATTACTTTCAGCAAGTCACAGGTGAGAGATAGTTGATGCTGAACCTCATCTTCCTCCAGTTTGTGAGGAGTGTCAGTGAAGATCTCTGACTGTTGATGTCTTTCAGCCAAGGAACAAACAGGACTGGTGACGTTTGAGAGACGCTGCCTCAGAGACACTGAGTTACCCAACTGGAAAAAGTAATAATATTATTAATATGTATTTATAGAGACATCTCAAACAGTTATACATGCTAGAATAACTAAAAGAGAATTCAAGTTAAATATAAAAAGACTATAGCCATGCTAGCAGATCCTGTGGGGCCAGCAGTGTTCATGTCATGGATTTATTTAATGATTTTCCAACTTGTAAACATGGTTGAACTTTTTTCTGTACGATTGGAAAACGCATTTTTTCTTTTTAAAGCTTCAGGTATATTCAACCTGTCTATTACTAATAAAGAAATACCTTAATAATCAAACAAACAACTTACGTATGTTGACCTTAAGGTGGCACCATATGAAAAGTAAGGATCACTAAAGTTTGTGTAAAAAAGTGAACTCATTATTCTTTTTTTTAATTGTGGCAGCTGTAACAAGAAGATGCATAAACTGCATGTTGCCTCACATGGCACCATTGAGAATGAAGGAAAAGGAATGCTTCAGGTAAGATCTGAACTAAAGCATCGCGGTCCCTAGCTGTTTTTGTCCAGAATGTATTTAAATAAGATTTCTTGTGCCTTTGTTTTTGTGCAGGTGGATTTTGCCTCCAGCTGGATCGGTGGAGGTGTGCTGGGCTCAGGTCTGGTGCAGGAGGAGATCCTGTTCATCATCAATCCAGAGCTGATCGTGTCCCGCCTCTTCACTGAGAAACTTGGGGACAAGGAGTGTCTGATCGTTACAGGTACCGTAGTGGAGAAATTATAAATGGATTAGTTATTGTTGATCAAATTAAATGTTTTAAATTACTTAGTAAAAGGTTTTATGTGATTGTAAACTGAATACCTTTAGGTTTTGGACTTTTGGTCGGGCAAAACAAGAAATTTAAAGATATGAACTTTTTTACTATTTTTTGACATTTTACAGACTAGAAAAGTGTATGTGTAATCATAAGGAATCAGTGACCATAGCACACAAACTGTAGTTTACAGACATTGCCTGATCTCCTAAATACTGACCCAATTGTTGATTAATCCGATTTAAAATAGTCCCCAAATAAGGTGCTTTGAATCGTTTGGGTTGTCTTCTATAAAAATGTCAAAAGAAGTTAAATGTTTACGTCTTTACTAACCTCCCCAACTGCTGTGGATAGCTTAAATTATTATCAATCTCTTCTCTGGCGTTCCCAATGTGTTCTGCTTTTATATGTGATTTTCTTAATATTTTGGATTGCCGTTTAGACAAAAAAAGGATTATGTTTGTGTAGCGTTCTTAAAGATTTACCATTTCAGTAAGAACCAATGGGCTTGGAGCTGAGAGAGACAGGAAGTCAGAAAGTATTGTGACAGACTAACTCAATGTTGGCTTTTCTCTGTTTCTCAGGCTCCCAGCAGTTCAGCAATTACTCTGGTTTCGGGGACACCTTTCAGTGGAAAGATCCTCATGAGGAGCGCCTCAACAGGTATAATCACTGTCATGGCCTGGCTCTTGGCCATAACAAAAACGTGGAACAGACATGATATACGGAAGATATTTATTGTAAACCAAACTACTAAACAAAAAAGAGCTACCACAATGGGATGTGTTCATCAGTAAGATCAGTAGTGTAGGTGTGGGTGTGTGAACGTGGTGTGGTGCACGGTGTTGAATGCCAAACTAAGAGGAAGGGAAACACAAGCATATAAGTCAGGTAGCTGCTCTCAAAAACAGATCCTCCAACCGAGAGAGCGAACAAGACACTGGCCGTTTCTCAATGTCGAGGAGGCTTGCTTGGTAGCACATGTATGCTGGGCATTTAAACAGTGATTCGGCGCCACTCGGTGATGTAGCATCCTTGAAATAGTGGCTCTGGAGTAGCCTTCCTCGACATTGAGAAACACGCTCTGGCTCGAGCCTTTAACTCCTCCGGTACCGGCGGCCAGGTGCCCTCAATCAGCGCTGATAGGGAGGAAGGGAGACCGTTAAAGGGCCATACACACACAATAGGAGAGAGTAAAGCAGGGGTCGTCACATCACTTTTATTATACGAGCCATATTTGAATACATCCGGTTTTCTCACATTTGATCTTTATAGAGACCAGTGGGCTCGGCTGCAGAGGCAGATCGTGGCAATCGACGCTTTGCACTTCAAACACAGAAGTGAGCAGTACAATATGATCGATGTCACACGGGAACTAAACAAGGTGAGCTGTGTGTATTGTTATTTTGTCATTAATCATTATTTTCGTATTATATGACCTAATAATCATATGCTAAAAGCCCATATATGGTATATTATCTTTTTGCTGTTGCCTTAAATCAATGCATAACCCACCAATCTTTTCCTGAAATAAATGTATAACAAATCTTAAAGGAAGTATCCAACCACAACTTATATGTTTGCCTTTAATTTGATTAAATATTGTATTTTTCTTAATTGATCTTTTGGCATGCTACAAACAGAAGTAATAAAGTGTTGGCTCTTGTTTTGGAAAAGTATGTTTGCTTCTGACTTTAATTCAAAGGACTTCTCAACAGTAATTGTATTATTCTGCATGAACAAACATTCTGTATCAGTAGTAAAGTTACATTTGCATTTTATCAGGGATTGTTTTATCTATAGTAATAATTTTTCTTTTTTTACTTAAAAAAGGCATACTGTGGATTTATGGGTCATCGGACCCATGAGCCCGATATCGCTACAGGAAACTGGGGCTGTGGAGCTTTCAATGGAGACAAACAACTCAAAGGTACTTTTTCAGTCTCCATCCATTTATTCTTCACCCAGGAACACATTCGACACTTGCCTTGAGCTTTTCCTTCATTTCCAGCTGTGATCCAGCTGATGGCAGCAGCACAGGCAAAGCGAGGTCTGGCCTTCTTCACCTTTGAGGATGAAAGTCTGAAGCAAGGCCTGCAGCAGACATACCACCTGCTGGTCACAGAACGAATTACAGTTGGTGAGAGATTTCAGGACATCAGACTTGTCAAATGTTTCTTGTTGGTTCAAAACGTTTCTAATAGTCTTATATTTTGCAGATAAACTGTACATACTCCTTGAAGACTACTGTGCCACTCCGCAAGCGTATGGCAGTGAACATGTGGATCTGTTTGAGTTAATCAGGATCAACTTCAGCCCTAGGAGTCTGCTGTGAGGACTGATTCATCCCTACCTCTGCATCTGAATTTGCACTTAAATCTAAAAGGGATCTTTAAGTAAAAGAAATGAAGACGCGTCTGTATTGATTAAAGATCATCTTTTGCAAATGTACCTTATTTTGATCGTTAAAAGCGTAGCGATAGCCAGGAAATCTGGGCAGAGAGAGATATGATGTGTAACAATGAAGAAAAGACATGGTTATTGAACACAGCATTTTTCAATGACATGCCTTAAACAAGGCTTTAGATCAATTAATCCAGAAGGTGTTTTTGATTTAGTTTCTACACTTTGATTTATTCACTTTTTCCTCAAGCCAACTGGCCAAGTTGAGAAACTCATAAAAAATAAAATGTCTCAGTGTGAATCATATGTCATTTTAGCTCCATCAGTTGCTCTAAAAGCCTGAGAGAAGTTAGCGTTAGACCAGTACTCTCACACTCAGTCAGCTGCTGCAGGTTTTGCAAGTTAATCCATTAACATTCAGCTTTACAAACCATTGTGACAAGGCAGTTGTTAGTGAGTCTGCTGTAATACCTCTTACTGTACTACTTACTTAATATTACAGCCGTTTCAAATCAACTGAGGTACATAGTGTAGGAGTTACATGTGACTGTGCTGATTAATAAAGATTGAAAGCATTCTCTGCATGTTGTGGAATTGTTGTTTAGTAGCCTATATGACTGTGACGACCCCTGCCTTGTTATCTCTGGTGTGTGTATGATCCTTTAAGGTTTTCCCTTTGGTCTATCAGCTGGGATTGAGGACACCTGGCGGCCGGTACCAGAGGGTTAAAGGGCCTGAGTGAGACCTGCAATCTCGCTCTGGCAGGAGGACGCAACGCGAAGAGCAGCCACGACCAGCTGACCTCTTGTTTCGTCGTTTGTTTCGCCTGTTTGTGTCCTTCAGCAGCAGTGAATAAATTCTCTTTTCCTATTCACGCCCTTGTTTTCTGTCGCGCGGTTGTTGTGGCTGAGAGCCAAGCCATGACAGATGGGGGCTCGTCCACATCTTTTTATCTGTGATACAGCAATAGATAGGTGAGATTTGTGTTGGGAGTTGGTGCGCGTGTATGAAGTTTGTTGGGAGCGCGTTTGCAGTGCGGCCGGTTTCTTTGTTTCGGCTCGTTGTGGGAAGGACATTAGATTTCAGATTGTTGTTTGGGGGACTGATTTGATTACTTTGTGAGGCTTTGATTTGTTTGGTATTATATTTCGGGAGAGTGGTTGCTAGTTGTTCTTAGCCGTGGTCAGCTGTTTTTTTCTTTTTCCTTTCTCTCTTGTGTGGGTTTGTTGGTGCGTTGCATGTGGAGCAGGGCGGAATTGTGCGGAGTTTCCCCTGGTAGGTTGTAGCGAGTAGCGACGGTTCCCTTGGGATCGTTGAGCGGGGTGTGTAGTGTTGTGGGGAAAGTGGTTGAAGCTTTGGCTTGGGAGCATGGCCGTGGTCTCAGTAGTGTTGCTAGTTTGCTAGTCGCTTTGCTGGATTAGCGGTCTCCAGTGCACCACAAGTAACTGCATGAAGACTAGGGAGGAGATTAGTCAGTGGGATGGTGAGTTAGTGGGGAAACTCCAATCAAAAAATTAGTGTTCCACTTTGGACGCGTAATAAACGTGGTGGTATCTGGCCGGTTTGTTTTTGTTGTTGTGTTTTTGTTTTTGTTCTCTTCTTTCGGTTTAAAGGTCCGGTGTTGTGTTCCGGTGAGGGGTCGGTGCAGTGGCGGCGCCAGGGTATGGCTGGGGTAGGCTACAGCCATACCAAGAAATGGCTTAGCCCTACCTTAGCCCGACCATGAAAAATGATGTTAAAGTAAGCATGTTGAGAACACGGATTGCGAACATCTACCGGTCATGTCCATAACACACAAACTGATCCTGCTGTAACAACAAGTGCACGTTACTGACGCAATATAGTTGAGACCATTCGGGCTTATGCTAGAGGGGTGCAAGGAATAGTCTAAGTCAGTGGCGGCCGGCCCATAGGGGCGCCGCCCCACCTCTTCCCACATTCAAAAAAAAATATTTAAAAAAAATAAATATTTTTATTTGTAATGAACAAGGTAAATATCATACAATTGGTATCAGTAAAATGTATAATCTCTACAATAACATCTAGTTTAAAATTGTGTTACGATGTCTAAAGTAACTGATAAGTCACATGTTTCCTGCCTGGCCTTGCCCATGGCATTAGTTTATCATTACCGGGCGGAGCCCCCGAGACAAACAGCAGCAACAAGCACGTTGCAAAAGTCTCAATAGTAAACTGTGCCGCCGAAACATAATTTCAGCCAATCAGCGCCGTCAAATATTTTGGTCACGAGGGCGCTCACGTTGGCGCCCACGTTGCTTACGTGACGTGAGTTGTTTTTTAGACTCGTGAGTGACCAAGGTGACGCAGTATTTGGATGAGAATGGTGTGCAGGTGGAGTCGCCGCACCCAATTCCGTGCAAGAGCTACTCTCCAATCCTTTCCAAAGGAGAAGTTTGGGAGATACATTGATACTTAAAGACCTTGGACCGGACCAACCCGATTTGTATATATCACAGCAAGCTCGTGAAAAAGACAAAACGTATCAACGAGGCTAGCTGGATGCAAACGATGCAAACAGGTAAATACTATCTTTTGTTTCCCATGCTTGCTCTTCAAACAGCCGATACGATCTGTTCAGAAACTAGACAAAAGTTAAACAAGTACAAACCACAGACTGTCTGTGTCATGGAGAATACAGTCGCTGGTTTATTTATGTCTGTATAGGCCGTTGTTGTGAGTGTGGACGTTCGGAGCACGTTAGCTTAGCCAAGCTCCATTCAGAAAACAAGCATTCTAAAAGGTTTTTCGCCTGCCGTCTGTCTTCAGACTGGTCAAAGCATTAATTCATGGTTTTTACCAACCGGTATCAGTATGTTGTTACGTCGGCATCATTTAGAAACGTGTATTACAATTTAATCACGGTTAAAAATTGTAGCGATCCTGATAGGCTACTCAGGGTGTCACTTAGGCATCCCCCGTCTCTCTGCCAATCATAGAGCTGCACCGTGATGTGGCTGAGGTGCGGGCCTGTGGTTGGTGGAGCGGACGGGGGAGGGCGGGGAGTTGTGACGTGGACAGTGCTATATCTTGTGGTTGGTTTAGGAAATAAGTTAGTGTGCGGTAGAACCCACGAAGTGTACTTGACCTGTTATCATCTGTCTTCAAATACAAGTTATTAAAGCCTAATAACTACAAGCCTGTCTCCGACTCATCTTGGGAATGTTACATTGGTGTCAGAGGTGAACTTTTCGAACAAGGGACGTCTATCCGGACGAGAGTCGTAACTGCGTCACGGAGCTAGCCGGTAAGCTAGCGGGGATGGATAAGTTCAGCAAGATGGGAGTGAAGCAGGAACACAGTAGTGATGAAGAGGAAGATGGAGCATGCGGGTGGTCGAAGGACATGAGAGAGGAGTTCATGAGTGCACGGGAGGTGAGAGAGCGCCTGAGAGAGTCGGCGGTGAGGATGGCTAGAGACGCGGGAATGTCTCCGTCTTCTGCGACAGTTCGCGCCATTTCCAAGCTGGAGGTAAACAACAATGGCGGCGCCCATCAACCCGCAGCAGCCGCCGCCGGGTCAGTGAAAACACCCAAATTCTCGGGTAAGGCAGACTGGGAGGCTTTCCATGCCCAATTTGAACTGCTTGCTCATGCCGGGGGGTGGTCAGTAGAGACTAAAGCACTACAGCTAGCTTTGTGCCTCACAGAAGAGGCTTTTTCATGTCTGCTACTACTTAGCCCTGTGGACCGACTCAGCTATGGAGCGTTAGCGGGGGCTTTGAAGAGGCGGTTTGGACAGTGTTTCCCGCCAGAGCTGCTCCGGAACGAGTTGAGTAACCGCTGTAGAGAGTTTGGAGAGACGCTGCGTGCACTGGCTAACAACGTGGAGAGCCTGACGCGGCGGGCGTATGCACACATGCCACCCGGAGTACAGAGTGAGCTGGCACGTGATCAGTTCATCAGGGCCCTCCGGCCTGCGGACTTGAGGGTCGAGGTACAGCTGCAGCATCCACAGTCCTTACAGGCGGCCTTGGAGATGGCTGTGGAGAGGGAGAACGTGTGGAGTGGAGCTGCTAGGAGCGGCGGAGTGCCGGCGGCGCCGGCGGTGAGGAGCTGCAGGGAGGAGGAGAAGCCTGCATGGGTTACCGAGCTGACAGAGATGATAAGGGCTGTTTCTCTGCAGCCAACACACAGACCAGACACCAGAGTCTGCTGGGAGTGTGGTCAGCCAGGACATTTTGCCAGAGACTGCACCAAGGCTCGGCGACGCCAGGGAAACGACGGGGGGCCCGCATAGAGGAGGATATGTGGAACCAAGCCCGAAGACTCCCCAAACAAACCACAGCTTTATTGCCACCGACTCAGACATCCGCGGAGGGAGCCCGACAGCACAGCAGGGGGAGCCAGACTCTACGCCCTCCTGAAAAATATGACAGCACCGGAGTGGAGCCTGTCGTCGCGGTGGGCTGTGCTGGTAGAGACTCCTGCTATGTCCCTGTCGAGGTGGAGGGGGTGCCCTGCGATGCACTGGTGGACACAGGCTCTACAGTAACCCTGGTGAGAGCAGAGGTGTTGCCGAGTGGGACTATGTTCGAGCCGACAGCGGTGCGTCTGCGCACAGTCACCGGAGAGTTGGCGGCTATGAAAGGAAGAGGAGTGCTGTCTGTGTCGGTGGGGGGAGTGGAAGTGCGGCACCCCGTGTGGATAGCGGATGTACAGGACCCGTGCATTCTGGGTTTGGACTTTCTGAAGGCGACGGGCTGCCTCCTTGATCTTCAATCCGGCACAGTGAGTTTCGGGGGGGGGGGGGCCTGTAATTACTATGACCCGTGTCCACAACCCTGCTGAGCCTGTGGGGAGACCTCCGACACCCACCGTGAGTACCCTAGACACGGAAGCAAATCCTCCCTCCCTTCCTGTACCCACGGTGACGCCCACTCAGGACAATTCCCCACCTGTCACCCCCGGGCTGCGCCACCCGAGCACAGCCCCCCCCCCCCCCCCCCCCCCCCCCAAGTACCCCCAGACGGAGGTAGAAGAGGCTCGGTCTGCAGTATTGGAGGTGTGGAGGAAGAACTGTGGTGGCCTGAATCCCGAGCAGCAGGAGCAATTGGGGCAGCTCCTGCTAGTTCCAGAGCAGTTTCGCAATGAAGGAGGAGGAGGTGGGCCGAACGCATCTGGTGGAACACGAGATCGATACGGGGGACTCGCGGCCCATCAGGTGTCGCCCGCGGCGACTCTCCCTGGCTCGTCAGCAGGCTTGCGACGAGGCAGTGCCGAGCATGCTGCAGGCAGACATCATCGAGCCCTCAGACAGCCCACGCGTGGGCAGCACCGGTAGTCATGGTCCCGAAGAAGACAGGGGGCTGGCGGCTGTGCTCAGACTACAGACCGGTGAACGGGGTCACCAAGAAGGATTTATACCCCCTTCCCCGCATCGATGAGTCCCTGGACCTGGTCGCAGGGTCGTCGTGGTTCTCTTCCTTGAACCTCCGCAGCGGGTATTACCAAGTCCCTCTTGCCCCGGAGGCCAGACCAAAAACGGCTTTCTGCACCGGCCGAGGACTATGGCAGTTCAAGGTCCTCAGTTTTGGGCTGTGTAATGCCCCGGCCACCTTCG